ACATTATCATGCCATTGGACTAGTGTTTCTGGACACTCGAACCAATACTGTCCTTTTGGCTCTGTTGTGGTCGCAACCAACTCCTGAGAAAATATTTGGGTCATTAGGATACTAGATGATGGATTTTCTTCACTAGCTAGTGGCTAAATTTGTTAGTCTGCTACTTGGTGCTGGGTAGATATTATATTGTTGGTTTATCAAAGCTTGTTTGCTAAAAACCGCTGCCTGCTTTGACTGGAAATGTGGTTGATAAGAGAGGTAAGACAGTATATGTATTTATGAGAAAGTATATATAATCACATCATGCATCATGCATCATAGGCCCACAACATGATCATGAAACAATATATTTACGGTGTAACTTCATATATAGAAAAAATATGTGATACGTAGCTCAAAATGCACATAAATAAAAATAAATATTTAAAATATGTGATTCAAATCTGGTTGAAACTTAAATAAATGTTTTCTAGAGCCTGTCCCTAGACAGAGTATTCTCAAAAACGTTGACCTGCTGTGGCTGAAAATGACAGTATGAGGGCAATGAGAGGGAACCAAGTTGCCGGACAGACAAGAAGAGCTGCAGATTTTTTAGGTTTATCCCTAAGGTGACCCCTTTCACACTGTTTTCACATTGGCATTTGATAGAAAAATACTGATTATGGCTGCTTTAAAATGGACTGAAAAAAATTTATTTTCTTAACCAAACTCGTGAGTGTTCATTGTCTTACTGGGTTCAAAAATATGCATCCAGTGCCACTGTGCAAAAAACATCCGTATCAAATTGGCTTTAATTACATACCTATACCCATTCGCACACACAACATTCACATACACACAGTCGCCATGTGCAACTCATGAAGTAGCTCATTGTCTTGCTTGCACCATGGATGGCGCACACACACACACACACACACACACACACACACACACACAAACAGACACATACTCCAACAACTTGCTGAGCTGCTCCTGGTCATGGGGCAGTGCCTTCCCCTCTAACACAGGGCATCATCAATACTTAAGTCACACGCGCACTTCCCCTTTTATCACTCAACACATTCCCCAACATTTAACAGGAAGATGCCACGAAGTGTACAGCATCTGTGGAAACCAACTGCGAAAAATCACAATGCGAAAGTGAAACCTTCTGTCTCAACTGTCTCGCTCATTCAACTCCCGATCACTGCTGCTTCCAGTGGGCGGCTGGGAAACTTCGGAGATCAAAAACAATGCTGTCAGACAGTAACAACAGCTCTTTTTTCACTTGCTTCAGATCAGCTGTTTGTAGATGCAAAAAGAAGCTCTAGTAAATTCCCACTCAAATCCTTGTCTAAATTTACCTCTTTGAGGGAATGAACTGAAGACTTGACAGCAATAAAACCCCTGTTATGTGTTGCTATTAAATGTAATTAAAAAGCACTCATGCAGTGTAATTTAAGCCTCACCTGTGCAGCAGCGAGAGTGAGTGGAGATGAAGGTCTTCTCCTCTTCAGTTCCACGCACTTCCTCAGCTTACATATCTGGTGGCCAGTCCTGCGGTTGAGGCAGCAACTGCACTGGCCACAGCTGACGTTCCTCAGGCATGGCTCGCAGGCCCCACACCTGCTCCGCTTCTTCCTCTCCTTCTTCTGTAGTTTGCGAGTGGTCCAGGAGGGCAAGAAAGCCCCCTCAGCTAGAGCGGAGGGGCTGGGCTCTCCATACCCTGCCTCTGATTCCGTGTCAAAAGAAAAAGAGGAGCGAGTGCTTTCCGAGCTGCAGGACAAGGTGGAGCTACTGTCGAGAGAAGAGGTCGAGATCTTTGGCACTGAGTCCGGCCCTGACATTGCTACAAGAACACCATCTTTGCTGAAGTTCGGTTCACACTCAGCTGGATCTGTGTTCAACTGAGGAACTAGCAACAATGACAGCGAAGACGTCTCTTTCTGGTTGTGGCGCTCCAATGGCTCTTGATTGGTTTCACTATCTTTGGTCTGCGTCTCTGCTGGTGTGCAAGCTTGTCTTTGAGGAGAAGGGATATCCAGGCTTTGCAGGTGTGGTTCCCCCTGGCTTGAACCCCCTAAGCTCCGAGGTTTGAGGGAGTCACTATGGACAATAACCGGCGTATTTCTTTTCACTAGAGCAGTCTGCAACATCAGGGCACTTTCAACAACAGCTGAGGACCGTGGGAATTGAGGTTTAGCACCATGAATTATGGTAGGTTGCATGTCTGTCTTACCCTGGATCAGAACCTCTAGCTCAGGTGACTCGGAGGTGGAGGGGGCTTTGGTGGTATTTGAGGTAGCTGTGTTGGAGAACGCTAGCACACTTACAAGTGATTGTGACTGTGCAGTCAGTCCATTGATAGAGTGAGGTGGGTCTGGATGTTGAGTGGCTGGAGTGCTGGGGTGGGAGTCAGTAGGCCTGATGAAAACATCGTTCTCCTTTTCTTTTTCCCCACCCTCACAATCAGCCAGCCTCTCAACAATCTCCTCCACTGTCTCACTTTGTCTCTCGACTTCTTTCACCGCCTCTAAACTCTCTCTCATCTCATGATTTATCTTCTCTGTTCTCTCAGCGACAACTATCACTCGTTCATCTGCCCTATTCTCGATCAAGTCCAACGTGGTACCATGCTCGTCTTCTTGCTTGATGTCACTTGCAAGACGGTCATGCTTATTTCCGAGGATAGATGGACTGTCATTTTCCTCGCTGCTGCCCTGCACCCCTGGTGAGCCGATACTCGTTAGCGCAGAGGGCTCAGAGGGGCTATCTTTACTTCTGTCACTGCAGAGTTTAAGCTGTCCATCATCAACATCATCACACACATGGGCCCCAATCACACACCTTAGGTCACCTTCACTGTTACAGCTGACAGTCTTTTTGTCTTGTTGTGTTGTAGCACTGTCACAGCTGCACTGCACACAGTCCTCCAGTGTGTCGTTACACGGTGGGGAATCTGCTTTAAGAGGGCTGTCCTCTTTAGCATTGCTGATTCCCAGACCCTGCTCTTTGATACTCGCAGGAACTTCAAAATCAATTTTCAGAGAAACTGGGAGGATTTCCTCAGCTTCACAGCTGTCCAGTTTCTCATTTTCCTCGTCAGGAGTTGAGTCGTTGATGCTGCTGCTCTCCGGCTGGCTTCTTGTGTTTCCTTGCCGAGTTGCTGCTCCTCTCCCCGCGCTCCCCCTGCTGTTTCTCCCTCGTCTGAAAGGTTTAGGGGGTTGGCAGGGAGTAACAGACACCCCTGTGCCCCGCAGGGACTTCCTTCGCCCTAGGGGGTCTTGTAACTCGCCACAGTGGTCAGGCGGATTGCTTGGCCGTCTAAGCCTTGCAGATCCTGTTTCATTTACGGCAGGGTTAACTCTGCCAGGGGACCTCCCAGGGCCCTGACCAGCAGGCCCGCTAACCCCTCTCCCGCGTGGGCTTCGGCCTGACTGCGCCTGGGCCCTGGTTGTTGACCTTTTGGGTTCTGCAGGTGTTTTCTGGGGCCTCTCTGTGGCTCTTCCTCTGGGTTTATTTGAGTTACAGGTTTGCCTCTTGGTGCTCACTTTCTGGCTATTTTTCCTCTGAGCAGGTGTCTGTCTCCTGGCGGGTTTGGTAGTAGCAGGCATGGCTGAGGGTGTGGAGTGGAGGACTTCTGGCAGCCAGCATGGGAGCCAGTGAATGTTTATCTTTTGCTCAGCACACTATTTTTTTTTTCTTTTAAAAATCTTCCTCTTCCTGTGTTTTATTCTTGGATTGTAAATTATGATGCTGTCATTAGTGCGTAATTGCAGTGCATGACCTATAAAGAGTCAGAGACAGAGTAAACAGGGTGAAAAAATCTAAATATAAAAATAGTCTTTAAATGTATTTTCAGTGTAATAATGACATACTTTTAGCAAAGAACAAACACACTCAAAAACACCAGGTACAATTTGATAACTGACAAAATGATACAAATAGCCATGAAGCTAACATAAGTCTAAACAGTTTTTCTTTACTTTGTCTGCTGGAAATGACACTTTCGCCCCGCCTGAAATATCTACTCGGGCAAGCAAGTGCTGTAGGGTTGACGTCAATACAGACAATTCAATGCACCTAAAAATAACAGAAGAGATTGAATAAATATATCACAAAATCGTAAGTATTACACAAAAAACAAATAGCTTACTATAGCTTCCTGAGCGGCTAACACAGCTTTAATAGTTAAAAGGGCAGGCATGTTGAGGAGTGGGCTCTGGCCGGAGGTCGGATCCTGTTTTCGTCTTTCTGACTGGCGGAAGAGGGAGTTATTACCGTGTAAAAACGCCTTCGATGTCTCTGTTTATTATTATTTTTGCACTTGACCTCTGTCATTTTAAAGCGCCGTGTAGCTATGGGTGGTTTTGTAGCCCGCGAGGTTTTATTTACACGTTTTACGGCAGAAATGCTTTACATACCAGAGAGAGACAGTTGCACTGTCTGAACCGCTAATAATACTCCGCTCCAGCGAGACAGCGAGACCTTGTATTGGTTTCCCTCTTCGGCAGATATAGACTGCTGGCAAGTTCGATCCTCTCACGACGATGACACATGGACATGGCACAAGCACCCACTTCAGCATACATCGAGCGGAATAGTCGGGTTTCCGCGTGCACCGTGTACTCTTTGCGGAGCACGACACCCGTTAAAATGTAAATCCCTCTTCTGTCAGTCCATTGAGGGCAGCCCCGCTCACTCTCCCTCCACCAGACGCAACCTACTCTCCGCTGGCCAAAAACTCGTCGTCGGAACTGGAGGGAAGAGTGGACACGAAAACCTGGACCGGAGTCGCTCCCTAGCACTGTGTGCTTTAGCAAGAGGACGGCGGAGCGTGCTAAAAATAATCATCATAACGGATCGCCAAAATAACGCCAGTTGATATGGACACTCGTTTATTGTACGTTAATGTTAGCTAGAAAGTTAGCTTTTTGAAATAATGGATTTAAATTAATAAAAAACCGCAGTGTTGTGGTTAATTTATAACATTAACGTTATTAATGTAAAGGTAACCTCAACAGCGACCTACTTTGTCATAAATTTGACAATAACATATGACATTGCAATGAAAAGCTGAAAACTACCCCTCCCATACTTCCCCGTCCCCTCGGCCAACGTCATTTAGCGTCATTGGTATGCGACTGTTTTCGTCTACTGTCAGTCGTCTACGGACGAAGGACGTGAATGTGGTTGCTTGAATCTCTAAAGTGCCTCTGATTCATTCATAAGTCTTTTTTTTTTTAAACAGTGAACGACGACCGAGGCAGTGTGATACCAACCAGTGTCCATGGTATCTCTACCTTTTAAGAGCCAGGACTGTCCCGAGGAAGTAAGGGAACGAGAGGAGGAGGAGAAACCGATTTGTTGAAAAGATTTAACGTTACACTTTGCTGCTTTTGCGCCTCTCACAGCTTTGATTATCTTGTGAGTATCCGCATTTAACAAATAGTGGTGTTGTCTCTGATCTAGCATAAAGACTAACGTTACTGTCTTCAACACTTATGACCCAGTGCAAATCATGACTCATCAAACTTGCACTTGACTTAATTCAATAAAACCGGACAGTGTGGTTTGCTCATAGATTGGATTGAAGGATGATGAGTGATATATTATGTGTTAAACCATGTGCATTTACAGTGTCTTTCCCATATTGTACAGCATGGATGTTGCAGATTCCTGAGCAAGAAGGATGACATCGGAGGCTGCGATCTCCACACCTCCTGCCATAAGCAGCACACCTGCCAAGAGGGACTACTTCTGGCTCCGCTCCTTTGTAGCTGGAGGTAAGATCCATCTGACACAACAGTTTGTATCATCAGTGTCAGATCTGCGATGATTTTAAGTAGAATTTGGCACTAAGACACAGGTTCAAGTCTTTGCGGCTGGAACACTGCATCTCTTTTAGTGGGTCGACGATATCTTGTATTTTGAGATCATGTATTTTGAGATCATCAGCCAATATTGCAGTCATGAGGTAGATAAACAAGAAATGTCTGCAGACACATCTGCAGGCTGCTGTGGACCGATGTTAGCGCTCTCCCCCTTTGTGAGTTTTGGGAGAAAGTTAGATTCGAGCCCAAATGTCCTCAGTCACTATCATCTTTTTCTAAATGTGAACACGTTGCGCCCATTCTAAATTACAGTAAACTGAATCTAAAACCATTACTGTGTAGTGTTACATATATATTATGTATTGTATTGTTATGTGCTAAAACAACACGTTACTGGCTAAGACAACCGTGTATATTAGACTGTACCCTGCATGGAATAATGAAATTTTAGATGACTTTTCTTTATTTTGATATTGCCATTGTAGATTGGTCAGTGGCAGCCCTGCTCTCTAAATATTGACATCTGCCACTGAAAAACCCATATCGGTCGACCCCTAATATAAGTTCATCAAAACCTTTATAGCAGTTTTGTTAAAAGAACGATAAAGATTCCATTTCTAGATTTTGTTTTTACTTTCAGTGCCTCATACCATATGGAACACTTCAATAATGAGACATACGTTGACCATGGGCATTTGCCAGCAAAATTATTCATAAATAATATAAGTTAATCTATACTATATATAGGGGTGTAGGACATACTAAAGTAATCCGCTATTAAACTATAAGTTGGTCAGTTGCAATTAGTCCCTTTGATTGTCTATACTAATTAAATATAGGAGTTCACATTTCATCTGAAATTGATGCAACTTAAAGGCGATAGAAGGAAACATCTTCTTGTCCTTCTTAATTCATCTGTGCTCTTTTCTAGTCTTCGCCTCGTCTCGGTTGTCAGTAGGGCTGGGCAATATGTCCAAAAAGGTTGTAACAATAAAACATTTCATATCATTCAATATCGATAATTATCACTATAAATGTCAAATGATTATTTCTTTCAAGTTTAAAGGTAGATTTTTGCTCCTGAGCTAAAGTTGAACAAACCAGATGGTTAATTGTGGTTTTAAACTATTTATGGTCAGAACATGAATCTGAGGTAGAACTCTTCTTTCAACAAATTCACATGAGTAAAATTGACTCAAATCTTTTTTCAGTCCCTTTTCCTCAACAAAATAAATATCTTAATAGAAAAATTAAGTGCTGATTTTTTTTTGTTTTAAATTAGTTAAATCTAACATTTATTGAACATTTGTTATATTATATACTCACAGCAAGAAGGTCTTGGGTTCCCTCAGTCGTCCCAGGACTTTCTGTGTGGAGTTTGCATGTTCTCCCCCTGTCTGCATGGGTTCTCTCGGGGTGCTCCCGCTTCCTCCCACTGTGACATGCAGGTAGCTTAATTGGTGACTCTAAATTGCCCTTATGTGTGATTGTGAGTGTGTATGGTTGTTTGTCTCTATGTGTACTGATTACCTGGGTGTACTCTCGCCCAATGTCAGCTGGGATTGGCTCCAGCCCCAGCTCTGGAGATACCATTCTTCTGCTGACACTGATCTCTGACCTCCCCGTGGAGGCAAAAATAGAATTTCCCTTCAAAGAACAATAAAGACACCTGACACACCAAGAAAAAGAAGAAATAGCAGTCAGTCACATACTCATCAACACTGTAAAACATACCAACAACAGGGCAATCCAATACTGTTTGATTGGAGAATATGGGTACTAAATTAATCATTATTCACATACTTTATTCCTTTAACATTACCCTTAAAGCATTCTGTGCTACCTTTAGCACAATAGCATAGCCTACATGTGACTGACAGAAATGATAAAATTTGCAAGATTCATGAAATCATAGTTTTTTACTAGGGATGCACAGATCCGATACAGGTATCAGATATCAGCCAGACTCACATAGCAGAATCGGATATCGGTGACAAGGTGGCCAATCTATTCAATTCAATTACACATGTACTATGTGATGCGTCAGTAGACCCAAACATTTTGCTAGGAGAGCTAACATAGCATGGAAAGAGCTAAAAGCAAGGGGTCAGCAGTTTGGAGGTATTTCACACTTTCTATGCCAACAAGTTCAACAGGTACTACCGATGTTTCAGTGTTTCAGTATTTGTTTCTCGTATCACAGAAACGCACGTTGCACTTGTCTCTGACTGCTCGCAACTTAAAGACACTTGTATGACGCCACAACAATTAAAGATTCTCTTGTAATTTAACGGTGGCATAATATCTAAGACAGGCTTGTTTCATTGTCAGCCCCAGCCAAGATACAAGAATAAATAATTAATTCAGCTGTGTCTCGGGTAGTTTCAAATGGACCTTCCATTGTATCACCTCAAGGAGGCTGCTGCTGACAGGTCACACGCCATGCCATAATCCCTTGCCACAGCCAATAAACATCAACACAGAGCTGTGTCTTGCTCTACCTGCAATGGCACTTGTGCCTCAGATCTTTTTCTCTTGATACTATTTATAAATGTTGTTTCATTTCCAGATTCACTCAAGATAAATAAAATACATGACCAATCATTCTGCTGTAGTAACATGAAAAATTTCTCTGTTTTTGTTCAGGTGTAGCAGGATGCTGTGCCAAGACCACCATCGCTCCTCTGGACAGAATCAAGATTCTTCTTCAAGCCCAGAACCCCCATTACAAACATCTAGGTGAAACATCAGCAGCTTAAACATGAAAAGCGAGTAAGTGTTTTCACTTTTTCACACATTTGTGCCACATGAGTGAATCTTGTGCTCTTTCTTTGCAGGAGTGTTATCCACTCTCAAAGCTGTGCCAAAGAAAGAGGGCTTCCTTGGCCTCTATAAGGGCAATGGGGCCATGATGGTCAGGATATTTCCTTATGGAGCTATCCAGTTCATGGCCTTTGACAATTATAAAAAGGTGCAGTATGTACTTTATTGTGGAATTACACTTTCAAAGGGCATAAAAACTGGATGAGTTTAGAGGTTGTTTAGGGAAATGTGATATCTGTTTATGTTTTATGGGTGAAATACAGTGCATTTTATGACCTGTGTAATGTTTTTATTGGTGAAACTGTTGACATTTGTTTCTTCCCTGCTGATGCTGATGATATTCCCTTCACAGCTGCTAAGTAAACAGATTGGGATCTCTGGACACATCCACCGCCTCATGGCAGGATCTATGGCAGGTAAGTTATCTTTCTCACTTATAAGACTTGAACTGAGTGCCAGTTGGATGTACTGCACTGGCATAGACATTGTGCTTATTGGTAGAGCATTTAGTGCCTTTTGTTCCTCTTGAATCATAGACTCAGTACAAACATTCTCATAATGTGACAAATACTGTATCACCACAATGCAAGTAAGTGTCTTCGTAAGCCTTGTTATTGTGTGTTATTAAATCTTTAAAAATTGTATTGAAGTGGTCGGAAATTTGAATAAACATAAAGACAGTGGGAGATTTTAGTCATAAGCTGTGTGTTTCAGCCACGGTTGTTCTTTTGTTTCTGTGTTGTCAGGGATGACTGCGGTGATATTCACCTACCCTCTAGATGTGATCCGAGCCAGACTGGCCTTTCAGGTGACGGGAGAGCATCGCTACACTGGAATTGCCAATGCCTTCCACACCATCTACCTTAAGGTAGTGTGCTAGTGTCAAACAAACATTGCATCCTTTCATTAAAAATTAAAGTTTTGTTTGTTGTTGTTAATGATGCATACTGTATCTACCTCTTACAATCAGACCTGTTTTTCTTTTTTGTAAAGGAAGGGGGCGTCCTGGGCTTCTATAGGGGACTAACTCCAACACTTATTGGAATGGCCCCTTATGCAGGTGATTTAGATTATTTTACACGTGTTTTCGCATATATGGTGTTCTTTGTGTTGCATTAGCTTGACTCTTTGCCTCCCACCCACTTTTATCTTCCAGGTTTCTCATTTTTCACGTTTGGCACCCTGAAGAGCCTCGGCTTGAAACATTTCCCAGAGCTGCTGGGACGCCCCTCCTCGGACAACCCTGATGTCCTCATTCTGAAAACCCGCGTTAACCTGCTCTGCGGAGGGATTGCCGGCGCCATCGCTCAGACAATATCGTAAGTGCTGTACGCAGGCAGCCAGCAAACTTCAAGCTCAAGGTTTACATTAATGATGATGACACAACATGCGGACTGGCTGGAGTTTGTTATTGATTACACAGAGTTTTAGATGGTTGTTGCATCTTCTCACTAGGTATCCCTTGGATGTGGCTAGGAGAAGAATGCAGTTAGGATCTGTGCTTCCTGACTCTGAGAAATGTGTGTAAGTATCACCAATGTTCCTACTTTCCATATTATGTTATACCATGATGCACTGCTGTACATTATACCTGTCAGCGTGTGCACAACACTTGATTCCAAACAGTGGATCACTTCATAAATCTGAGGTAGAACATTCAAAAAAATTATGATAACATCTTCTTCCAACAAATATGATCCGTAAATATGATCCGTAAATCTTTTTTCAGTCCTCTTTTTCCTCAACAAAATATATATATTTTAATAGAAAAATTAAGTGATAATTTGTTATTCAAATTAATGGCGATATATCGAATATTTGTTATTGAGGAAAATTATATTGCGATAATTATCATTATTGTTTTATTGCCCAGCCCTAGCTCAGAGCGACGAGAAAACAATTGGTGCTCCATGTGGTCTGATTTGATTTGGGAGTTTTGCAGTGAAATTGTAATCTTATGGGTGAAATGAAGGAGAAATATTTGTAAGGGTGTGCTGTGATACTGAGGGTAATGATAGAGTTCAAAACTGCTCACACAGCCCAGTGCTGATTAACTTCACCACTTCATAGAAGTAATAGGTTAAATGCTCATCTAGCTACAGAATGAATTGGTACTCATGCATGTTCTGAAGAAGTCATTAGCGTAGCACTAATTGGGGGAGTTGTTTAGAAAATGAACCCGTTTACCGTAGCTTCAGCACGCTCTATAATATGGCGTCCTTGATAACTAATGTTCTACTGATGATGATGATGCTCTTTTTGTAGTGTTTTTTTAAATTAGAAAAAGCACGAGGAGCTCTGAAAGTTTGAATGCAACTGTTTTGGACATTAATTGAGGAGTTCCCTCTTAAAATAGTTCCACATTTGGTTTTGTAAGCAGAGTTTGATGAAGTGCGTGCTTACAACTGCAGAGAAAATTCCAGAGGCTGGGGCAGCTGTTTACATTAGATTAAATGTTAAAGCCCAAAACTTTAAGGAGCAGAATAGCAACTGCAACAGCAACATACCGTTCATACCTGTACAAGTTTGGCAGTCCAAACACTGCACATTGTTCTTGCATTATCTGCTCTCCCTTGTTATTTAAGATTTTTTAAGAATGCTTTCTCAAGATCCAGTCCACCAATACATTGGTGCCGTACAAAGTCATTTGTCTCCTACCCAAGACAAGTATGTTTGTGTTAATATGGCTGCTGTTCATCAAGGGGGATTAGTTTCCCATAGCACAGATGGACCTCAGCAACGAACAAGGATTTATCGTGTCTGTAATAATAATAATAAAATCTCAAAAAAAGGAAAAATAATAAATGTAAAAAAACAACAACAGTAGGTTTCTATGTTTGTTTTCTATCATTCTAAAAAGTGTATAATTTCTTGTCTTGCACCCGAACAGATCACTGAGCAAGACACTGACCTATGTGTATAAGGAGTATGGGATCAAGAAGGGATTGTACCGAGGCCTTTCTCTGAACTACATCCGCTGTGTCCCCTCCCAGGCCGTGGCCTTTACCACCTATGAGTTCATGAAGCAGTTTCTCCACCTGAACTAGTCGTCGTTGTTATACCTTCCAAGTCTGCACCTGAGCCGGTACGCTCCGAGTCATTAAGCAGAACGACCTCAATGCTTCCTTTGTAGAGTCATCTGAGACTCACTTGCTACGTCTTAAACTCTTCCATTTTGGAACTGCCTTTTCCTTGAGCTCACTGAAGGCACCACGGAGGTCAGTTAAAGCTGAAAAGGGAAACCTTAACATCTGACAGTAAGGCGTTCCATGTTTGTCCTATCTCATTGCCTCTTACTTCCTGCTTTTGTGACTCGCCACCTCTTCAGAGAGGATTTACTCACGACATGTGGCTTGAATTTGAGCAACTCCCTCATCAGCGTCTCCATGGATGCTGCAGGGCAGCGGCGTCTTGGTTGGATGGCTCAGGGGAATGATACGCTCTTTAAAAATGTTGTTGGCAACACCATAACAACCCTCTGATTGTGTAGAAGCCCCCTCATTCACACAGCAAATACAGATGTCCACACACTCTCACTGAAGATGGACACCAGCTTAAAATGATCAAATTAGTAGTTTCTCTACAACTCAGTTATATAATATATAACTATAATATAGATAACAGATTTCTTCAAAATAATATGAAGGTTTATAATGTTTGTTTATTCAGGGCTTAGTTTTAAATGTATAGTGCAGCTTTGGGTTGCAGTATCTTTAGGAGAAATTGCTTTTTGTGTCTCTTTGCCTTTATCAGTTTAAAATCAGTACAACACAGTTCACCTGCAGGTTTTTATTTTTAAAGATGTTGTGACCTGGGTGGAGCATGATTTCAGTTGAAGTAACTTCACATTTTATTGCCAAACCTTGAATAGAACAGTTACTGTCTGTAATTTCAATTGCTGAAAAATCTTAGTTGTGTCGTAGGGTTAATGTGCACTCAGATGTTTAGTCTGTAGCCTTGATGATACTGAATTATGTACACCCATGCTCAGCTGTGATCAGAAAGGTACTTCAAGTTGTTTAAGATGTCAGCTTTGTGACAAAATAGGGATGTAGTTCTGACATGTCTGGAGGGATACGTTTACCTGAAGGAACTCAGGAGAAATTTGCACTGTAACTTTTTTCTTCATTTATTTATTGATTTAGCGACCTGTGGCCACTGGGTGGCAGCATTGAATATATATTGCATTGTTTACCATCAGAGCATAGGTCTCTTATGAATCACAAGTCAGATTAGGATCTTTATGATTTTTGCAAATTGGTGATTATAATATATGCAGTGTTTTTAACCCAGTTCAATCCAGGCTGTTTGGATGTATTGTCCCAGGTAGGCTGAACATAAATTACTGAATGAAAGTGTTGTTTAATTCAAGCTGTAGTGCACCACAGACGTTTGCATGAGCCTCATCAGTTAGTTGTACAAGCATGGTTAGTTTTCAGCCTCTTGCCTTCCTCTGCATTCGATGTCTTACCCCACCAGAGTGATTAATGTGTTATATTAGTTTCTCCACACACTTCAGTTGATGCCTCAGCTTTTAGATCCCTATGTATGAATTGGAGGAAATGAAAAGAGCAGATGCTTAAGATTGTTGTGACCCTTTAAAGTGAAGCGGTGTCTACATATGACCACTCATCACAATTTGTTTGTCCCCTCTAAACTTCTCAGATTGTCCCATTTGGATGACTACAGAGGTAAAACTGCCCCAAATTCCCCCCCAAAAGAAAAGTTCAAACACAAAAACATAAATTGTGCAGCAGAACACAATGTTTTTGTTCTTCTTTTGTATCCCAATTAATTCCTTTTCCCCGGAGACAGTCCAGTAATTATGTATGTTCTGCAAAAAATCTATGACGTCTTCATATCCTCTATCCTGCAGTCAGCGGTTGTGAAGGTAAACTCTGTGTTGTTGCTCTTTAATTATATTGTGACCGCTCTGATTCATCATGTGAACCATTAGTGGGGTCCAGACCCCCAGGCTGGAAACTACTGCCTTAGAATATTGAAATATAAATTACGAGACAACTGAACACTTTGAAAGCTATTCACTGTAGAGGAAGTGGGGTGTCATAAAGGCTTCTGTCACCTCTTAGCTGCTCCTTATTTGGAAGGCTGCCACTCATCAACCAGTGCAAAAAGACTTTGCAAGAGTTCTGATTGGGAGTGCACCTCGGATGTACAATGAAAAAAGATATGCAGCATTGAAAACTGTAGACATGTACATTTTGATGCAGCTGGCACATTTGAAATCGTTAACACACACAACATTGAAACCAGAGTGTTCATTTCAGTTTGTCTGTTCAGCTGCGACTTACCTTCGTCTAATAATTGGAAATCGCCTGGCTGCTCCAAACACCTCGATGCCTCGTGCGTGAAGGTGTTGTTGAACAAAAGTCTAAAAATCATATACATTATTTGACATGAACATATAATTCTCCCAAGTGCGAGTAAATAACAGACTTGCCAAGTGTATGTAACAATAATAAAGTATCTGACGGTGCCTGCCTGCCTGGGCTTAAGATCATAGTGACACGATCGCGCTGGTGATAAGTGGAAGCCACCATTTGGCAAGCAAAATTGTTTTCATCAACATATCTGCTTTTTATGGTGCCACTCATTCATCTACAGTACTGCTCTGTACAGAAGCTTTCATTTCCAGCTCTGTTGATTTCCGTGTTTGCTTTCAAATACCTGCTCTTTCTCTGTTTTTAGTTCAAGAAAGTCTCCTATCAATCATTGAAGAACAGCTCATCTCTGTTCCTGCTGCTGATTGCAACAGATAATTATGTATGAAAAGGACTATTCAGATATTTATGTAAATGTAAGCTATGTAATAGTATGATGTACTACTTTATCAGGTTATGTTAGCTGTGACTGAAAGAAGATTTAGTTTGTATGTTATGAAAATGCCTTTTTTTGTTGTTCAGTTTTATGTACATGTTCAGCTTTGCCTGCCTTGCTTTTCATAGGCAGTGTGAATTACATTACATGTCACCTTAAAACAGCGCCTGTGTTGTTTTTTTGTCAGTGTGAACTCATGAATGACCTTGTCCCTTTCTGTCAGACCGGTGCAGCCTTTTCTTTTTAACTGAGCGAGAACTTTGTGCTTCACATACAGATCCCCTATTAAAGTTGATTTTACAGTTTCATCTGAAAAAAAAAAAAATGCACAGGGACTCTGTGATGCATTTGCATTTATTTCACTGATGCTGGAAAACACTACCTGTTGTTGTCTGATGTCACATAATAATTTGACTGGTAAATGTGATGTGTAAAAGATGTGTATGCTCACATGTTCCTTGTGGGTGTGTTTCATTTCCACATCATCAGTTAAATACAGTTAGACTGGCCAAATAAAAAACCCTGTCATTCTCTGTGTTTGTCTGTAATGCAGGAATTCATCCTGTTATGTTTTTATAAAACCCCCTCCTTTACAGAGAAAGTTCATTTGATATCAACTCCTGGCTCAAGATGCCTGTGGCCACATTCATGTCCGCACACTGGAAATCACCACTGATAACACACCTAGGAAGGATGGCCGAATCTGACCTCATTTGTGGGGGTGGAGATTATTCATATGACTGAGAGCTTGTCTGTGTCCCGCACCTCCCTCTTTTGTCTGATTACACACTTTCTTGGCATTTGTGCAAACGAAATGGAGAGAAGTGAGAAGCGTACATCAGTGAACGAAATACAGTTTTGAGCAAAAAGGGGAGACTTAACTTTGCTAAAATCTTGAGGCAAACTTTTTGTGGGGGGATAGAAATTCTTCTTCCTTTAGTTTTTTCTCTTCAGAGGGTGTTTGGACATTTTTGGAGTCCTCTTCGTCCCGTGTGACCGCCATGCCTTGTTACACAGTGACTGTTTCCACAGGGAGCCAGTGGTTTGCAGGGACAGATGACTATATCTACATCACACTGGTGGGCACGGAGCGATGCAGTGAGAGAACATTGCTGGACAAACCTCTGTACAATGACTTTGAGAGGGGGGCGGTAAGTGATGTTACACTGCTGTGGAGCTGATGACTGTGTGACAAATACATTAATATGTATTTTCTGATGAATGATGAGCATTTACAAGTGCAGACAAACTGTGTGTGTTGAGATTGTTTTCGCAGGTTGCTGCAAAAGAGGAAGAAGTTACGACACAGGTGTATCTTGTGTCAGTTTTAACAATTTCATTATGGATCTCATCCACTTCTGGAAAGAAGAAGTTTACTCTAACAACATGTTTCCTGGTGTGAACATTACATATTTTTATTATCATATTTAATATTAGGTTTGTTATCTGTCGCAATATACTGCACACAAAATTGTGCAGGCCCTTCAACTATGTCACAAAAAGGTGTTCTTGATTAATTAAACTGCTGCTGTCAGTTTATTCTGCAGAGGCCGAGTCTAGTGACAGATTTGTTTCAAGTTACAAATATTGACTAAAGACGTTGAGATATATGTAAAGTAAGAGTAGTCTTTCACAATAAAGAAAATATAAAAGTCATAAAGAAATGGAGATTAAAGTAAATAGATTAAAGGAGGAAAGGATAAGTGTGAAACAGGTGTGATGGGGTACCAAAATTAAATTTTGCATCCACTTAACATTCATTAACTTTGCTAAAATCGCTTGTTTTTTTATTACAATTAAATTTTGCCATTGGAAGTAAGATCTGAGTTTTACCTATAAACTGCAAACCTGAATTATAAATTGAAAGGCAGATCATTACTACTACAATTTATGTGAACTGCTGTGTCATTACCTGAAAGTGAAATTCAAGTTTCTCACACATACATACATGCAGTGAAATGTGAAGTGTTTTACTGAACAATGAGACAAAACTAATGAAACACACCCGATTCAGTAAATTACCCTTTTTACCAGCAAATACTATTTATTAAGCCACTGACTAAATTGTAGGTGGACTCCTATGACGTGAGGGTTGGGGAGAACCTGGGTGAAATTGTGTTTGTGAAGATTGAGAAGAAGAAGTACTGGGTGCAGGATGACTGGTACTGCAGGTACATCACAGTCAAGACCCCATCAGGAGACTATGTGGAGTTCCCCTGTTTCTGCTGGCTGGTGGATGACAAGGAAGTGGTGCTGCGGGCTGGAGGAGGTAGAGTCAGCTGTTCATTTTTTCAGCCTAACAGACTACCTGTGTCCTCCTTTTCATCAATCAGCGTCTGCAGTGCAAAAACACAAGTTTAACAAACAAGCTTTGCTCCATGTCTTAATTCGTCATGTGTCTGTTGTAGCACGTCTGCCTCAGGATGATAAGACCAGCCTATTGAAGCAGCACAGACAAAAAGAGCTGGATATGAGGAGAAAAACCTACAGGCAAGTTCACTCTGCACTAGTGTTGCAGTACTCAAGACCGGTCTTAGTCTCAAATATTGGTCTTAAGACTACTTTTTGATGGTCTTGGTCTCGTCTCGGACTCAACTGCATTTGTACTCGGTCTTGTCTCGGTTTCAGACATTGATGACTCAGGATTTTATTTTAATACCAGTCAAGACCATAACTTTGGGAATATCAATAAATTGCTTGTGCATTGTCTGATTTATTTGTTAACATCCTAACTCTGATTGGATGTAAAAAGTTTTGCTTCAAATGCAACCAGTAACCCTAATTAAAAATGTATTGTTACCCTTAACAACTGTCCCCCCCTCCCCGCGATGGTAAGCACGGAAAAGGAGTGTTGAATAAAGATACTTACGTTGATTTCAGCTCTTAGTGTTTGTATGTGGGCGTTTTAATGGGATTGTGGATCTTTCAGATCAATTTGAGAAGTACCTATGATCTTGTTCCACATTTTATTGTGTGTCATGTAATGTGGGGAACTGGTCTTGGTCTTGACTCGGTCTTGGTCTCGACCTGGTCTCAGCCCCTAAAAGTCTTGGTCTTGTCTCGATAAACTCTGGTCTTGGTCTTAACTTGGTCTCGGTTTGGGCGGTCTTGACTACAACACTATTCTGCACATGCAGTTTGTTTGTTATAGGAGGCTGAGGCTGCTCACTTACAACTCTGCTGTCCTTTATAGATGGAAGGAGTGGCAGCCAGGCTTTCCTATGAGTATAGATGCCAACAGACACAAGGATTTGCCCCGGGACATCCAGTTCGACAGTGAGAAGGGAGTGGACTTTGTCCTGAACTACAGTAAAGCGTACGTGCTCTCTATAGCAGCCTGCTGAGTAAAGCTTGAACAGGTTCACAGTAGCTGTGAGTACAGCTGATCCCCCTGGAGCTTTAACCTCAGGGGTGTTTTTCAATGCAAAGCTTTGATCAGATGTTGAGCTCCAGCCTGATAACATGCTTCTATTTTCTATACTCAGGATAACCTGGAAAAACAGAGATGTCATTGTGTGTTTATCAAAAGGGACATTTGCATCGCGCTTTTATGCAGGCGTGTGAGCACAATAACTGTTTGTATCATGCAGTAGTTAAAAAAAAAAAAAGCGAAAAATTGCAGAAATGACAAATCTTTGAAAATGATGTATGATAATGTTTGATTTGTGAAAAGTATTGGAGATGGAAAAATGAGTCGTGCAGTTTCCCATAATGAGTTTCAAAGGTGTTAACAGAAATGCTGCATCTCTGTGGACAGAAATTGTCCAAGAAAATTTGCATTTAATGCTACCTCCTGCTGCAAAAATTATCATAACTACACATACAGTATAACACATCATTTTATTTTCCAGAACTCATTTTAATAGCCGTGTTTGATTAACATATCTCCCGGAAATGCATCTGATTTCAGATACTTTGACCTTTTTGATGTGTATGGTAACAAATATGATGTCTTAGCATAGTTGTATAGAACTATAAGAGTATAAGAATATTGAGGATGATAATGATGATAACCATGAATTTCCAGAATAGAGAACCTGTTTGTGAACCAGTTCATGCACATGTTCCAGTCGTCCTGGAGTGACTTCGCTGACTTTGAGAGTATCTTTGTGAGAATCAAAAACACAATATCAGGTCAGCCTCATATATAATATTACATTATATTATATTATATTGCATTTGCATTTAAATTTAAAATTTACCACTACAATACATTTATGTCATTCAGAGTACGTGATGCAACACTGGAAGGAGGACTTCATGTTTGGGTACCAATTTCTGAATGGTTGCAACCCCGTAATGATCCGCAAGTGCACCAAAATTCCTGAGAAGTTTCCCGTCACTCATGAGATGGTTTCTGTCAGCCTGGAGCGAGAGCTGACTCTGGAACAGGAAGTAGAGGTAGACATGGCTAGATCTGTTTCTGTGAATCTATTTTCCATTTCTAACATTCATGTTCAGCTCACAAAATTATGTCTCTCCTTAATTCTCCCACTTGCGGTACAATGTAAATCAATGGTCTGGCCCCAGGCAGGTAACATCTACATAGTAGACTACAAGGAGTTGGACGGCATCACTGCTAACCGCACAGACCCGTGCACACTGCAGTACCTGGCGGCTCCAGTGTGTCTGCTCTACAAGAACGCTCATAACAAGATCCTGCCCATAGCCATACAGGTACGGTGATGTTGAGCAACAGCAGGTGTGCTTTGCACCATGAGGGAAACATTTCCTTTTCCAGCTGACATTTCAGTATAAATCCACTTCTCCTCGTTTCCCTGCTTCTCCATCATTCTCTGTCAAGCTCAAGCAGACTCCAGGTGAAGACAACCCCATCTTCCTGCCCACTGATGGTCAGTATGACTGGCTGCTGGCGAAGATCTGGGTCCGCTCGGCTGACTTCCATTACCACCAGAACGTCACGCACCTGCTCAGGACTCATCTCATGACAGAGGTTTTTGCCATTGCCATGTACAGGCAGCTCCCTGCCGTTCACCCTGTGTATAAGGTAAAACTCTGGCTCATGAATTGACTGATCGATTGACTGGCTGATTGATTCGTTCATGGATTGATGTTCCTTCTCCCAGCTGCTCATTCCACACATCCGTTTTACCATTGCTATCAACACCAAGGCCAGAGAGCAGCTCATCTGTGAGTGTGGTATCTTTGACAAGGTGAGTTTGTGGAGGTGTAGAAGAGCGGCAGCAGAAGAGGGAGGGGAGTGAGAAAGAACGTGGGGTGACTGTTTCTGTTCAAATGTAATAAGAGAGAAAAAGAGATAGGAAAGGAGGCAAAAGACACAGAAAAAGAGCCCACAAAAGTAGCGTTATCTGTATTATACTGGACACAATTAAGGAGCACCTAGGTCACAACATGAAAAAGTCAACAACAAACTTACAGTTCAATGAGGCTTTTATTTTTGAGATAAAAGACAATGACAGTCTCACAGTTACATGTCGAGAATGTATGTGGTTTTGGTGTTGGACACAGTGCATTCAGTAATGCACACTCAACCACATGCATACATAGAAGTAGGAGAACACAGTCATCATCTGCACGAATAATGAGTGACATGTGTGATGATGCTGTATCTTCTCTATCCTTATCAAGGCAAACGCAACAGGTGGAGGCGGTCATGTCCAGCTGATTCAGAAGGCCATGAAGTCTCTGACCTTCAGGTCTCTGTGCTTCCCGGACGCAATCAAGGCCCGCGGCATGGACAACAAGGAAGAGCTGCCCACCTACTTCTACAGAGACGATGGTTGCAGGGTGTGGGAGGCCACCAAGAGGTGAGGCACAACTCTTTCATATAGTCATTATAGACGGCACTGATGAACAGTTTGTGTTTGAGGGAGCGAAAACAGTCATAACAAAAGGATAAACAGTGAGAGGTGTGGGAACATTTCTACCTTAGTGTGTGTGTGAGTGAGTGACAGAATTTCAAAGGGAGAGAAGTTTTTTTAATTTCCACTATGCTGTCTTTTTTTTTTCTGGCAGTTTTGTGTCTGATGTGGTGCATATTTACTACACCAGCGATGAGAAGTTGCAGGAAGACGTAGAAATCCAGGCCTTCATTAAAGATGTGTGCAGCTTCGGTATGCAGGACTTCGATTTCTGTGGTGGGTGCACATTACAGACGTTCTATTGTATCATTCTTCTTTTAGCATTGCAACAACAATCAAAATGCAACTGATACATAAATATAATCTGGAAAAGATAGTCATGAGAGGGACCAGACAGCATTACAAATTGAAATCTGTTCTGTCACAGACAATTGGTTTGAGGGGGAAGATAGGAAGTTGACGCTGTTACTAACTGAGTCCCAGTGTTGTAATACCCTTCCTGCATTTCAACATTACCTGTATGAGTACAAGGCTCTTTTAAACAGCAACACTTGCAAAAGAAGAAAAAGCGGGGTCTGTGTAAAGATCTAAGCTCACTTTGTCAATTCTCTCTGTGCACAGAGTTTCCCAAGTCCCTGAAAACACGTGAGGAGCTGACAGAGTATCTGACGGTCATCGTGTTTACTGCTTCAGCACAACATGCAGCAGTCAACTTTGGACAGGCAAGTAATACATAATCCGGAACCTGGCAATACATTTTTTTATTTTATAAGATTGATTTCAAGTAATAAAATATTATAAAAATGACATGCTGGCCTTACAGTTGTGTGTAGTACAATATGAATTTTTGTAGATTACGGTAGTTGAAAAGCATTATGCATAGTTGTGAAGTTCAACAAACGGTTTGTGTGTGAGCTCACATGTACACAGTAATGGAGGAAGTACTCATATCCTTAACCCAAGTAAAATAACCAGAACAACTGTGTAAAAATACTCCACAACATGTAAAAATCATTCATTCAGAGTCCTACTAGAGGTAAAGTACAGAATTATTATCAGCAAAATGTACTTAAAATATCAAAAGTAACAGTATTGGTTCTGCAAAAAATGGCCCCTGGGACTGATATATTATTACAAAAGACATTATTATTATTGCAAGTTTTAACTAATTTATATATAGTAATGCGGTTTAGACCAGTGATGCCCAAACAAGGGGTCAGTCCCCCTCCAGCGGGTCACAACTGAATATAATGGATCATGAGATGATTAATGAGGCAGGAAATACAAAAAAAAAACACAGTTCTGCTACACAAACCTGTACTGATAGGTCTTCATTTTCTCTGGTATTTGCATTTTTGTGAATTATCAGATAATTGCCTCTTCATCCAGAAATGGATTGCATTTTACAAGCTTATCAAAATAAAATGTGTGTAATATGTAAATCTGTAATGTAACTAAAACTGTCAGATAAATGTAGTGTAGTAATGTAGTCCTTGAGTAAATGCACCGCATGCCACCACTGCATGCACACGCTGTGTCTTTTTTATATATTGTGTAGTATGACTGGTGTTCCTGGATCCCCAACGCTCCATCTACCATGCGAAGACCCCCGCCCCAAGAGAAGGGCATTGCAGATGTGAACTTGATCATCGAGAGCCTCCCTGATCGTGGACGTTCCAGCTGGCACCTGGGGGCCGTCTGGGCCCTCAGCCAGTACCAGGAGAATGAGGTATGAAGAGGGCACAAACACACAGGCAATCATTCACACACTTACACACACACACATCTTGGTACAGACTGGGTTGTTCTGAGGATCAGCTAAAACAAATATTAAGTTTGATACACTTATTTTCCAAGACACGTCCCTCTACTTCTGCTTTTTTTCCTTGTAGTGTGCCTCCGGGCTGAATGACCCGTCTTCCCTCTCTCCCTGCAGCTGTACCTGGGCATGTATCCTGATGAGCACTTCACAGAGAAGCCAGTGAAGGCAGCCATGGAGAAATTCAGGAAGCAGCTGGTGGAGATAACCAGCTGCATCAAGACGAGGAACGAGGGAAAGAGGCTGCCTTACTACAACATGTCCCCCGATAAAATCCCAAACAGTGTCGCTGTTTGAGGAATAAAAACTCACTTCATTCATAGTACAATGAAGTTCTGGTGATATTAGTTAGCAGTCCAAATACGCTGTTAGAAAAACTCTGTCTGCTTTGTGTGATTTTGATACTTTGATACTACCACAAATTTGCTTCTTGATAGTTTTTTTGTCACTTATTTAGGTGAAAATTGGTTAAAATGTTATTGCATGAATTTGCTGCCAATTAAAATGTTTTTATTTGTAGCTGCATTGTGTAATTTCTATCGGCTCCTTTTTCGGGAGAGCAAAACAGAAGATGTCAGCCACCCCTGAATGAAAAGTTAAACTGATAACACTCATGCAACATTAACCTTTTCAAATATTTTGCAATAGTGTTACTAAAAAATCTATTTAAATTCAGAGCGCATGATTTACTATAAGTATTGAAAAAGACACAAAGCGTTAAAAGTAACTTAATTTTTATTTGGTTGTTCTTTTTAATTCTACATACTTTTGTTCAATAATGGGTAATTAAACTGAAAACACATCAATATTTCTTTTAAAAACAAACAAAGTACTTTTACCAAATTCTTTACAGTTACTATTTCAAAGTAAATTCACAGACACACTTGTGGAATGATATCATAAGACAGGGAAACAGTCATATATGTTCAAGTCCAGTCAGTAGTAAACGAATGTAGCTTTATGCAAGTTACACTATTCCCAGACAAGATAAAATGTAAGCGACAGGGTAAAGACAGATAGAAAAATTTTGACTTAAACCTAAAATACTGGGACAGAGAGGCAGAGAAAGTACTTTTCCCTCTCAATCGATGTCCTGCTCAATAGAATTACACAATAGAGAAATAAGATCATGGTGATAAACACCAAGAAAGTAAAAGAAAAAGCTGCTCTCAGAGAGAATTATGCCTGCTTGTAAAAGAGTCCTAAAGTGGTCTCAATCTTCATCTAGACTACATCATCTCTTTCTCAGACTTCATGAAAGGAGCCAGCTCCTATGAGTAGAGAGTTAAAAAAAAAAAAAGTCTATAATCTCCAGTCCATCTTTAAATTTTACTATACGTCTGAATGTTCCATGTTGTTTTTATGTGGAACACATGAAATGTTTGAATTTGATGCTGTGAATAAATGTCTGTATTCTGCATATTTAAAACAAAATTCATCAAGCAATTTAAAAAGCCAGAAGGAAGAGCAGATATTCACATTAAGGTCGAGCAACCAAGTCTTTTTTTTTTTTTTTACAAGTTTAATATCTAAATGACAAACTTAAACGCAAAACAAAAAGCCTGGGGGGAAAAAAAGTGTAAGTTGCATAAAATTACTTATGAAAGGGGATTTTTAAATGAACAAGTTGTACTCTGTTTTCTTTTAAAAATAAATACAACACAAAATGAAGAAATAATGATTTTATACCCAGAGGAAACCCTGGACATTAAACACCATTACATAACTATATAATAGAATAACAACAAAAAGGGTAATTGCACTTTTTATCTGTCTAATTGCACTGAGCCTCGTGGGTATTGAAGTTTCAGAGAAGCTTCTCATTACTAGGTCTTAATCCAACTTGACACACAACAGCTCCCTCGGCTCATATTATGTATTAAAATTATGTTAGACTCCAGATCTCAAGTCACCATGGGGCGTATACACACATACAGTATGCACTGTTGCAAAAAACAAAGCGCAGATTTCATTTATTGCTGCTGCTGAGCAGTCATGGTCAGATGTGGTTGGACCATCGGTGTTCACAGACAGTATATCAAAGACTAGTTTTTAAAAATGTGTGTGTTGCTGGAATGGCTGTGAGGCTCAACATGAGCCTGGCATTGCTGTGCTCCCACATACACAAAAGCCCAAAACACATTGCTCTGAGAAATCAACTGCTGCCTACCGCAGACTGCAACTACAGCTTCACAACAGCAGGTGGCGCACTAGTCAGCTTGTCAATGAGGGATATTGATACGGATGCTGTAAATCTGTCACAGGCAGCAAATGTATGGAAGCATTATTTGCTTTTATTGTAAAATAAATTATCTGTTTGTTGATGCATGAGAGTGACCTACAATAAATGACTGAAATAATGCAGTTACAGTATTTATGCTGTGCTTCTTCAGGTGTTGGAAAAACTTGTCTGATTTGAGCCACATAAGGCACAAATGAGAGGCAAAGCACTAGCTGTCTTTGTGCTTGAATGCTAAAATAGACATCCTCCACCACGTGATATGAGTCTGGCAAGAAGAAACAAGACATGTACCGGTGATGATCCTATCCAAAATGAATTTTTACAAGGGGACAGTAAAAGTAATTAGTATACGTCGCGTCCAAACAGATCTCACATCTTATACACTGTGCTGAAGTGTGTCAGCATAACTGAAGAGATTGATTGTAAATGTGCAGACATGAGGGCAAAAATGAGCCTGAAGCGTTTTTTAAGCAGTTAAATTTATATACACACAGTTACAGTCTGCCTGGTTTTTAATCAAAACTATCAATTTGGGGTCAATCAATTACCACCTGCACAATGGGAGCGATGGGAGGAAAGACTGAAAATAGGCAGCTGTAGATTTCTCAAGGGCGTATCCCGTGACTAAGCAAACAAATCAACATATTAAAAACTGCACAAGGAATATCACACTGTCATTCGCAGGATAAAAAAAACACGAGCAACACCGTTTATGTCCAAAGGCTCTCATTTATGATCATGGAAATGATCTCCTGTGACAGTAAAAATGTTTGTTTTTTTTAAATTTTATTTTTATAATCTTTTTTTAAAAAAAAGTTTACATTCTCAAAGCCTTCAGTAATTTCACGTTGGGGTAAAGAAGTCATGTGGCTGGATTTCCCCATCTGCATTAGAGCTATGAGCCTGACATCATTCTCAAACCTTGCCTTTTTCCTGTTCTGACTATAACACTCAAATGTTTCTTCAGCATGATTCCACTTTTTAACCCCAATTCCTTTTTTGTCATAAATGGGAGGATTAATACATGTGTATGAGGAAATGCAATGTCAAATAAAACAGGAAACAAACATTTCCAATTTTGAGCGTGCTCTCCCCCATGTACAAGACTATACGACTTAATTCATATTAAAGACAAAAAAAGGAGCAAAGAGGAAGGGAGGGGGATTTGTTTTGGGAACTAAAAAACAAAAGTGCTTCGATGCTTGTCCAGATCAAGGCCTGATCGGATTCAGACCAGCAACACAGATGGCAGTAGCTGGAATGTTCCAGAGATCCGATGTGCGGCGCTACATACTGATCCACGGCAGGTTAGCCCAAGACTCACAGGAGGTAAAAACGAACAAATCTAACAAACTCACAAGTAAACAAACCACACATCAGAGACGTGTAGACCTCCGGAGCGTTTGGGAGTCCTTTCGTCTCAGTCTTGCTCTCCCAGAGGTGTACATAAAAGGGTGTGTGTGTGTGTGTGTGTGTGTGTGTGTGTGTGTGTGTGTGTGTGTGTGTGTGTGTGTGTGTGTGTGTGTGTGTGTGTGTGTGTGTGTGTATATAGATAGTGGTATGCTCCAGGCCTCTTCACAAATTTACACAAGTCAGTAAATTCTGTCTGGTCCTGGGAAAAGAAAGAGGCGAGTGTGTGGATTGAGGGAGGAATAAGGTATGATAGGAGGAATGTGGATAGAAGAAGACACAAGGTCTTGGTCCGTCTGTCTCTGTGGATGGAGTTTCAGGAATATTAGAAGACCAGGAGGAGGACGGTGGGTCGGTCGGGCATCAGGCACAGAGCATTTCCACAACTGCTGCCTGTTTGTGTGTGTATAAGTAGGACAACCAATGGCATGGAGTGGTCAGACATGGAGCACTTCCAAACTGTAGTCCTCTGTCTCTGTGTACTGGGAGGAGTTTGTGTCCGACTGGGTTGGGGCCAGAGCCTCCTTGTTATCGAGACTTGGCTCCAATAGAGGCGGCTTCTCCAGCGCCAGCTTTTTACACGTATCTGGCCGGTTCTGGACGTATATGACCCGGTTGTAAGCCTTGAGTCTCCTCCATAGATGAATGTAGACTTTGCACTGGACATACATAAACACCAGTCCACCCGTGAAGCCGATGGCCACCACCACCAGCTTGGTCCAGAAAGGCCATTCAAGGATCCCTGAGGAACAGAGGACAAACAGAGAAACATGTCAAACACAGACCAGACTGAAATGTGGGGGTTTTTTCAACAGTGTGATAAAGTTTCTTGTCATATAATTCATTCAGAAAATTAGAACAAAAAAAATGTAATTGTCACATTTCTTCATTGATTTTCTAGAAAATGCGTTACCTCACATATCAATAATATATCAATAATGTGATATACAATGACAGCGATAGGGGATTTTATGCCCATCTATGTCTCTTTCCCCTCTTTTCCTGTTATCTCTCCAATGTCGATTAATCCATAAAATGCCCCCCAAAATAATTAAATATAACAAAGAAAAAATAACGGCTTTAAAAGTGGGAACAACACCACTAACAAAACTAAAACACAACAGCAGGCTTTTCAAAGGGATCATTTTGTAGGGAATTTGCTAAACCATGTGAAAACATTTCTATACCCCCCTGAAGCTGCAGCATTTTGAGAATTGCAAAAACCCTGAAACATAAAGCTCTAAGCAAGAGGTGAAAATATTGCAATTTTGGGGAAGTGTAAATATTTGTAATACACTGCAGCATCTTCAAAAACCAAAAATGCCTTTCTTCTCTGAAAATACACAGCTGACCTGCAACCCATCAGTCTTTTCTTTCCATGTTGGCTTTTATGTTTCAGGTGGAGTAACTAAATTCTACCCTTGATGAATAAGTATATCCAATGAAATCCAAAAACCCCTCATATAATGAGAGGAATCCCAATTCAAACAAGGCAAACATAATCAGTATGGTATTAACTATGCTTATGCAAGACAGCGATATCAGGTGCTCTATATCTAATGCTATGAGAAGAGATTAATGTGTTGTTAGTTGTGTGAGAATATGTCAGTGAGGTTTGTTTTAATCAAAATCCTCAGCCACAAAGTGTAACACAGAAAATAATTCACAGCGTGTTCCTCGACTCTGCATTCACTAGGCTGGAACATTCAGTGAGGTGCTCTGAATGTAACCGGCCTTTAAGGGTGAAGAAGCATCATTTTTATCCTGAAATCAAGGCAGAAGGAAAGGGAAGGAAAGTGCACTTGGACAAGAACTGGATACAGGTGGCAGAAAGGCTGACAGGGGCGAAGACACAGTTTGAAAGACAAAAGGTCAAAGTTGAAATGTTTACCTGGGATTCTTCCGGCTGCATGAGTAAAGAAAATGTAAGTATCATGTGTTACCAAAGACACACAAACAGATTGATAGAAAAGGCAAAGCGCAGAATAAGTAAAGTAAATATTACATTTGCACACTTTAGGACACAATTTGTCATGCAATCACAAACATTAAATCTGCTTCACAAACCAAACAAGACAATCAAATACATTTGAAGGTGTATTAGATGCAATTCTGCTGTAATCTCTGTAAGCAAATTGAGAGAAAATCATAACGGTGGTTCTGTGTGAGTTGGCAGAGGACAAACAGCACTGGGGAGGAACCATTTGGCATCACTGTGTTGATTGAACCTGACAGCATTCATGGACTCTAACAAGTATGAATCATCAGGTTGGGCTTAACAGGCACAGCTTGCTCCTCCATCTGTACACCGTCTCAGAAGCACCAAATTTGCCAGAGAAGAATGAGTGGCAGCATAGGTGGTGCCAGCAGATGATACAACAGTTCATCATTAAAAGCAGCCTTCTCCATTTTCAGCTCCGATAGTGAGAGCACAGCGCTTTGAGGATGGCAGTGGCAAACTGTCCATAGCCAAGCACTGCCGACCACTTTGGTCAAGATGGATGTAAGTAGCAGCCCAGGCACTAGGGGCTGCTAAAAATGCTTTTAAATTCTTAGTCATGTTTTACCAGAGGTTTTAAAAAACCATAATGCCCTTCTGTGTCGACTTGCTGGATTATTGGCTGTAGCTATCTGTCTGTCTGCAGCTGAGTCCAGTTTGGCACATACATATAATATTGCTAAAAATTGGTGAAAGAAAATCAGAAAGCTCAACCTGGGACAAAACAGTCATCTTCTTTAGCAAGAAGTGTCCACATATTCCTTAAAGGAATACTTATAGATGAGGAGATTGAAACCACTCTCATATCTGTAAGCTAAATATGAAGCTACAGCCAGCAGCCAGTTAGCTTAGCTTAGCACAAAGACAGGAAACAAGAGGAAGCAACTAACTCCGTCTAAAACATACATGCTAATTAACAAAAGCACACAAAAAGAACAATCACTCAAACGTACACACACTTATCCTTGTGAGTGCCTTTTGTTGACTAACCATGAATTGACCTTCAGCTTAGTCATTTTGATTTACGCCACGCACACAAAACCTGACCTGAACACCTTGAATTAGTAAGAATGAACCTCGTTTGCAATAATAACCTCACTCTGAATGTCTCAATCTCAAACAGGATCTTAAGAGTGATATATGTAAATATCTATTTTTAAAATCTCCTTTTCTTTTATCTCTTCTCTTTTATGGACTACAGGTCTGAACTTAATGTCCAAAAAACAGACCAGACCAATCATCTCTAAAGAATCGCAGCATACTCTCTACACATTTGTTTGGTCTTAGTTGTGACTTTGATGCCCACTGAGCTTGTAAGAGTGAATTATGTTCACAATTATTCCAGTCTTATAGAACATTTCACACTATTCACACCCAATACTCACATCACTGAATCAACACTACACTTATGCAGATTTGATATAATACTGTATGTGAATTACTGAATGACGGAGGCGGTGGAAGATTGCACGACACTACATTTAACAGAGACGACGATGTTATACTAATGCTTTTCTGTGTGTGTGTGTCTGAGTCTGTGCTGACCTTGTTTGATTTCGTCCGCTGTTCTGTCGATGAGAACGTAGAGCGACCACACCACGCAGGTGATGGCGATGACATGGAAGGTGACCGAACACATAATCTTCCTCCTCTCGCTCGCCGTCATCTGGAGCTTCTCCCACTGCGGCAGAGAGCACGAGGGTACAAAGAAAGGACATTTGAGGAGGTCAAAATGAGGCATCAACAATCCATACGCACACATAGATGCATGCATACTTTGAAAAACATACTTGAAATACTTAAAATGTTTGCACTTTTGGCCAAGATCAAACGCTCCATAACACACACTCGGCAGGGTGAGTAAGATGAAGAAAAGTGGCATACAACACACAGAGACCAGGCATCTTGCCTGTCACTGCCTTCACAACAAATCATCAGGAAATGAGCCCAGAGATACAAAGAAAACACACAATACAATGCTAGCACCAGCAGATCGGTTTTGCAAATAAGCTGTATAGGCTCCTCTCAACATGCAAATGCACTACTCATGTATTCAGATGATGAAATGGCATAATTGCAAGGTCATTTTGAGAAGAAGCAGGTGTTGCAGATGAAACCAAACATCCTTTGATAAACACTTCATACCAAGACCGACATCCCCATCTCATCTGGAATTTCTTTGCAAGCTCACACACGAACAACTTCAATGTTCACCAGCGGGATTCAGAAGCTATTACCATCGGTGCATTTGTTTAAGGCCTTTTGTGCAGCTAATGAAGGGTGGAGGAATTTTAATTAGAGTGTCCTGCTATCTCCAGGCCACAGTGATTGATAAGAGACTTTAATGGAAGTGTACTGCCTCTAAACCATTTGAAATGAATCACCCAAAAAGTTCCGCTTATGAAAACGGCTTCAAAGCTTAGTGTCATGCTTCTATTATCTGCGTGACAGATTGGAGACAGCTTTTGGCATTCTCAGCTTCACAACGAAGGAGTGACGTGAGCTTACGTCACTCCTTCGTTCACGACGGCCTGAATTTATCCACTTTATTACTAAACATGAGCATTATTGACTTTATGTTCCACTTCAGATTAATATGTACTCTACGTACAAACTGTGTCTCACCTTGCGCAGCGGTTTGAGCTTGGTCTCCATGATGAACTCATATTTACAGAGCTCACAGCAGCGAGTGTCAGAGCTCTTGATCCACTGCTGTAGACAGGACTGGTGGACGAAGCGCAGGCTCCCCGTACAGTGGCATGGTGTGATCAGAGGGCTCTCGTCATCCCCTTCACAGTGACAAATCCTACGGGAGCCAAAGAATACAAGTCAACACTAAGCTAGAGGCAAGACAGCTGTAACAAGAGGAAGACATGGTGGAGGAAAGATCAAACAGAGAAAAGTTGGCAGGAAAAGCTGACAGATCCCCAAACTCAAAACTTGTAGCATTCTCTAGTGGCATGTATAATAAGAAAATGCATTTTCATGCTCATTTATTCCACGCTAGCCACAGACATAGGAAAGCACGGCAGGTATAATTTCACATTTATAATAGCATGTTTAGACTCTGAACACAGAGGACAATACATGTCCCACATGACTAAACTCAATCAAGACAAACTAATTTGATTCAAAGCACTTCATTTCGGAAAAAATTATCTTCTATATTTTGCAACGTCGCAGCACAAAATTTCTATCTCTAAAATCTAATCTCACAAGTAGCAATCTTAGTCACAGTGTTGGAGGATCTGATTCAAATTGCCTGTAATGATAACTATGCCCCCCCCACTACAGCCTTTCCACATGAACTCAAGTACACCTTCATCAGCACCAGACATCATGTTCTAAACGTGCTCTTAAGAATAGATTATAAACTGGATCTTGGATCTGGATATTGTTAAAATATTTTTTCATACAATTCAACGGTCAGTGTTTAGGTTGCTTTGGTCAAGTTTGCATTTGTACTACAACCATACTACCACCAATACCAATAATAAAAAAGTATTTCAACTGTTTATCCATTACTTTTAGCGATTTATCGCTCACTTGCTAATGTAGTTTTCACGGACTCATTTACAACACGTAATGTTCAGGTGTTACAGCTGACTCAGTGTGTGTGTGTGTGTGTGTGTGTGTGTGTGTGTGTGTGTAAATATTTTTATTTTTTTTTAATTAGTAGTAGTAATAATTACTTTAGCTTCTTTTTCAGTCTTTTCACATACCTCCTGACAAATGAGAATAGACCAGTGTTGGGAATCACTGCAATACACCACCACAAACCACAAATAACCTTAATTGCATTTTTAAAGCCAAGGCACTGCATGCAATTGCATTCAACTAAAAAGCTGTTGGTGCTCAGCCCCAGTAGATGCTTGGTAAAGTATTCTGGGCACAGGTACCGACAACTGGAACATTTGATTAGGTGTCTGCTACCTCTAAGGACTGCTGAACAGGCTTTTCTCAGGGAGAGGAACCAATCAGAAATTTTACATCACACTGAAGCGGTCCCCCTCTCCTCTTCAAGATCATATATCGGATACTGACTGACAGGTTGGAGACATCCACACTAAGGAGGAGTGTATTTGTCTTAAGTGAGACTGTGCCTGCGCATCTGATGACGAGGTAGATTGTGTTAGAATCCAGATTATGTTCACCCTTTCACCAGTAAGTCAGCCAGAGTCTGCAAAGGCAGAGAGTTATAGTGGTAATCGACAAAATGAAGGGGTTGGAGAAGGCTATTAGAGCAAGCTATTACCTCCAAGTCAAGCCCACGCCCTTCTTGCAGGAAGCAGCAGCTAAAGTCATTATTATCTCAAAATTCAATGTCAGGACATTAACCTTGTTGCAGCTGTTCAGACCAAGGCAGAGTCCTCAGTGAATGAACAATAAGCCCCAAAATTAGCTGCTGCTTGTTCCACTAAAACACAACTTTGATTAAAAACCAGGGTGTTTAAGTGTAGACAAAGTGCACATGATGCCCCCTGCAGAGGCTTTGAAGTTTAATGGATACAAGTTACACAAGGGAAGGAGCAAACAGTTATTTCAACCTATACCTCAAACTAATTTTTTTCCACCAATTTCTACCATCAGATGCAGAAACCAGGAAAGGCCTCTACTGTGTTTTCCCTGAGTGAGATGCAGAGAGCACTTGTATTTCTCTCTGGAGAGGAAGAAACAAGCATAGAAAGGTGTTGAAAAAGCTGAAGGAGAAGAGAGCAGGGAGCTCAAATGGGGTTGTCATTATCCCGGTTCAGGGAAGGATAAAGAACACGTGAAGACATGCATGCACACCCACACATGCCCACACCGCCCACACATGTTAGAAAGTGAATGTCTATTTGAAGGCTTCACTGATCTGGCCAAAGCGTTACAAGATTATAAGACAAAGGAAGATAAAAATAGGTAATTTCAATGGCTTCTTAAATAGAGGAGGAGGTGGGATAGAAGAGCCACAATTAACATCTACGGAAGAGTGCTATTGCTATTGGTTATGGCTGGGCTGCTTTGTTTGTGTTTGTTTGCATGGTTGACAAGATGTTGAACTGCACATTCTCATCCCACTCTGCTGTACTCCACTCGCAAAAAACAAAAAATAAAATAAGCCTGGGAACCTGGACTCTTTCCAGGCTTGATGCATGCAGAAATGGACCAATTTGACAAATTATTCTAATGTTGATATGGAATTTTTTTTAAACAAGGGAGGGGATAACCATAGAAAAATCTCTACACCTCCCCATGGAACCACAGTCAATAAACATCATAAGTGTCTTTAGGGTGAAAAATTTGGGTTTCATGGAGGCCTCACCTGCTAGGAACAGCCAAGACTGTATATAAACTGCTGCAAAAGCCACTTTAAAGACAGAAATCTCACTAATAGAGCACAAAGGATTCAGCTTCATCCTTCCAAGTAACGTGTACATCTGTACATTTGACAGAATCCCAAACCCCTCTCGCAAATTTACAGCAAAATTTACTGCATCTGTGTCAGCAGCAGCACATTCCAAGCACTGTTAATCATGGGAAGTTAAAATTTAATTTGCATCGCTTGAGCAGCCAAAACACACCCAGTTAACTGTAATTTTAAGATGGCAGAGGCGCCGTTAGAGTATGTGAACATGAAAATGTGAGATGAAAAACAGAGTCGGGAAATCACAAGCACCACAAGCTGAGAGGGAAACAAGCTCTGCAACATTACAGCCTTGGCGAGGCATTCACTTTCTTCCTGTTGTCACTTGTCTGTTTCCTCAATGTGTTGATTTAAGATCACCTCCCTCCAGCTATTCCTTGCTCTGCCCTCGTCCTGAAATGTTTATGTTTTTATTTTCAAATAAATTTTTCAACACCAATCTGTTGTTTTTGCGTTTCTGCTAAACAGATTTTCATAAGGGCTGTATGGGGCAGAGTGTGACATCTGGGGCGTTTTGTTCTCTCCTTTTCTCAGCCTGTTCAGTTTGGTCTTAACAGTTTAAGCGCTACATTCTGCCAGAGACACACTGATCAGAAACACACAATTCAATTGGTGGAAGCACCACTGGAAGCCATCTCCTTTTTTCCTCCTTTCCGCTCTCTGTAAGTCTTTGGGGTTACTCGCCTCTCTTCGTGCGTTCACACTTGCCTTAAAAGAGAATATTAAAATTTGCTCAGAAGAATCTCAGGTTAAGGAATTACACAAACTGTAGTTGGTTTTCACTGCAATGTTTTTGTCCCAGTTTTGTTTGTAACTGGTGCTCTAATAGCACATGCACAAGGACCACATAAGGCAGTGATGCGCAGAGCGTCCAAGAGGCAAAGTAAGAACTGGAGAAGGTGAAAAGGCCGTCAAAAAGTAAAGAAACATAAGCCTGACTGTAATAATTGTCATTTGCTTCAAAGGTTGGCCATGTCTATGAAATGAAGTACGGGTTAAATGACATCCCGTTTTACGCTGTTCTGCTTATCGACAGTACACTATACTTTTATAGCGCCTTTCTAGTCAAAGCGCTTTACACTACATGTCACATTAACCCCACATTCATACACTGATGGCAGAGGTTACTGTGCAAGAAACTAATCATTCACACACATTCATAAAAGCAATTTTGAGTTCAGTATCTTGCCCAAAGACATGCAGACTGGAGGAGTCAGGGATCAAACCACCGACCTTCTAATTAGTGGACGACCCGCTCTATCTCCTCAGCCACAGCCGCCCCAGCGTGTCATGCAACGTAGCAATGCACAACCAAAAGTCATGTAAGAAGACAGATACTAGCCAATGTACATAAATATGTAAGCAATGCACGGTTCTAAAAATAATCAGAGAGATCACTTTGGGAAATGTTTGAGGAAATGCATTCTGTATGTTTGTTAGGATACACACAATGTGTTTTGGTAAAAACAAACAATGAACATTAAAATGTGTTTGTACCTTTAAGTTTCTTTCAAAAAAGGTGATATTGCCGATAAAGAAAGAAACCAACTCACCTCATTTAAGACTTCCAACCATTACTTTCTGAAATATTGTCAATAAAAGAGCTGGCTAATAATTTATGTGCTATTTGTCTGTGAAAAACAACCACCAATCCACACACACACACACACACACACACACACACACACCAGCCTCTGCTCTGAGGTCATGCTTCAAGCCACCTGACAGAAAGCTGGCACAATGTGTTTGTTTGTGTGTGAGTGTACGTGGTCACAGACTACGCAGGCTATTTGGAGCCAATAATCTGCTTCCTGATCTCTGGCCTTCACCTTGCCAATTCTAAGCTCATGTTTCTCCATCAACCCACAGCTGACGTATAAGACATATAATCTCGAACGGAGTACATGCACAGACCACAACTCAGAGGGAACAACAAAAACAAGACAGACATATATAATTGACATTCATTTGTGCTTAAGACTTCTCACTCATTAACCCAGTGAACTGCTGCCAGACGGAGTATTGACAGATAATGTAACCCAGAAGGACACAATGTGATCGACATAGTAAGATCTACCGCTAGCAAGCCTCATCTATGGGGGCCATGCACCCATGACCTGATCTGTAATCAAATATTACTCACAATCGGTCCTTCCTAACATAGCCTGGCTCTGCCAATCAGAATGCGGACAGACTGCCGTGTGAAAAAGACTGATGACAGCCCTGTTGACCCAATCAGACAGACTCCACTGGTTCAGCATCATTACTCTCTCCACAACTGCTTCTGTTCCACTATTTCTCAGACGGACACACTCCATTCCTTAATACTATTACATTTTCTACCCTAACCTCTGCCCCTCCATCTTTTCCTTAATATTGCCAATGCCTCCTATTCCTACCTTTACTGCAAAGCATAAAGCATATGGGCTAAATCAATCACACATTTTCACAGCCCATATAAGACACTTTAATGCCTCATCGATCTTGTAACAATGAGAAATTATTTTAAAAACACAGCTTGACAGGACAATGAAAAACATGGCAGAGCACTGAGATAAAACTGGAGTGAAATGAAATGGTATGAAATGAAATTAAGTGACATTTCTGTTCTAGACCGACATGAGTGGTTGAATCAGGACAGCTGAGGAGCAGGCCTTCTTCAGATTAACAGCTCCACTCCGAACAGGGTGCTGCTGTGGTATAGGATGTTTGCTGGGCAGTTACTACAGGATGAGAAGCTCTCCACTACTCCATGGGGCTCTGGGGTTTACTGCCACTGTAACGGCACAGGGGTGGTCTGGGCTCTACCAAGTCACAGGAAGGGTGGGTGTGGATTACACCATCCAGACAGTCACCCACCTGCAGCAGTCCTCAGATAGTGAATAGGGTGACAGTGGCCCAGTTTTCTCTGACAAAGGGGACGGGCAGCAGTCCAAGTCGTTGTCCTCATCCATATAGCACAGTGGGGCTAGAAAAGCACCTGGCCCAGCCACGGTGACCGTTTCTGGGGTTGCCAGCTGGCCCGTGCCCTTTGGAGCTGGACTGAGCAGGTCTTCCTCAAACACGTCGTCATCTCCCAATAGATCCTCGGGGGGAAATCCTGACTCACTGCCTTCCAGCAGGGCGCTAGAGGACTTGGTGATGTGGAGGTGAGAGGTGTAGCTGCCCAGCTCAGAGCACTGCAGGCTGGCTGAGGTAGAGGATCGAGAGAAGGGGAGGAGGAGACGGAGGAAGTTGGCGCTTGGAGAGTGATGAGGGTGGAGGTGGGTGTTGGAAAGAGGAGAAGGAGGGGCGATAATGGCGTTGGATGGGAGACAATTGGCGGGAGGGATGCCCAACATGTATTTGTAGTTGTTGGTGAAGGAGGGGACGAGGTGGGGGTGGGTGCGTGTTGAGTAGGCCAGATTTGGGTTCTGGTGTGCAGGTGCTGCCGTCAGCTTGCCATTGAGTGTGTGCGCCCTTCGATCCGAGCTGGGCGGTTGAACAGGCTCGGGCTTCAGCTCCAGCTCTCCCTCAGAGCAGGTGCGATCTATAAAGTGCAGACCACGACAAAGACTGTCTACACGCTGGCCCATGTCATTCAGAGACGCAGAAAACCGGAGCTTGCCGTTGGCGCGGATGTTGACAGAGGAGGGGCGGAGCAGGGAGAGCCAGTCTCGCTGTTTGGCATGTTTGGAGGCTGGTAAGGCGTCTGCGCAGAGGGTGGTCACTGAAATACCTCCTGAACCTAGACAGGTTTTACCATTAGAATTCAACAGAACCACTGCAGTCTGCTTCTGACAGTCGTGATCCTGACGGCTGCAGTGAAAGTGTTTGTGCACGTGTGTTTATGAAAGAGGAACGTGATTGACGACAGTGGTAAAGGACAGCAGGAGAAGGAACGGGAAAGGACAAAAAAAAAAAAAAAAAGAAAAAAGAAAAAGAGAAATGGAGAAGACATCATGCATTTGAAAACAAAGGAATTTGAAAATAAAGTAGATAAAAAGGTTTCGGGGGCTTTGTCTTTGCGTGAAAATACCTAGATGACATTTAAAATCTATTTTACAGCAGGATACTGGCAACCAAGACTACTTCCCACAGTGACAGTATATTGTCAAGGGTAAAGGCTGAGCCAACATCGCCCACTGATATGGTTCCTCACCAGTAATGGACTGATAAATAGATTACATTTATTGTCCTCATGGGTTCACATTACTATGGACATAAAATGACATCACTGTCAGTACAAGTGGAATGAGGCTGAAGTGGTTTGTACCTGCAGATGTCCTGGCTGGAGGGAGAAACTGACGTCCTTGAGAAACTGCATGGAGCGTTGACTGAAGTCGGGCTCCCCGCCTAAGGAACAAAACACATGCACAAAAATGTAACTACTATAAGAAATAACTATTGTATTATTCAGCAAACAGATTCAAATCATATTTCCTGTGTTGACAGAACAGGGGTCCTGTGTGGTGAGAATTTTCAGGCTATCACGCCTGAATCTGATCTTCACAGAGAGAGTGAGAGCCCACTGAAGCACAGGATGATAAAAAGGAAAAACACAATACTGGCAGTTAATCTATCTGATTAAAGGAGTGCCTGGCAAAATCTGTCTCACTGCGTCACAGATCAGGCACCAGGCTGCCATGGAGCGAAGCGCAGAGACAGACTGTGAGACAGAGGGAGAGTTATGAAGAATGAGGCACTCAGAAAGGCAAAGCTGGAGGACGTGAGGCTGTGGACTTGTTCAGCCTCCACAGAGAATGTTCAAACAGATGCCCCTGCAGGTACAAGGCCTTTATAATAAAAACACCTTCAGAATTATCTATTGTAGCTTTCACCAATATTTATTTTACACAAACGGCATGGTGAGGATTTTGTAAAACGGTCTTTGATATTAAGAGGAAACTCCTAGTTTATTACTGTATGGGTTTATTTACAAAGTTTTGGTGCTTATGATCACATTTTACTGCTGAGATCTGGGAACACAACAACATCCCTACAACAAAGTCTGATGGGGCAAGAAACACGAGCAGTCAGATGATCATACAAGACAACAGTGTAGCCAGATTTATAAACTACTTTATAAGAATTCACTGAAAGTCGTAAATGTCGGTAAAGGCTGCGATCACGTAATGTTGGCAGAAAGTCCCCACATTATTCCAAGATGGTTCTAGCCTTGTCCTCACATAACTTATACTTAATAAGCTAAATTTGTTACTTTTGCGGGCGGCGCGGCGGTGCAGTGGTTAGTACTGTTGCCTCACAGCAAGAAGGTCATGGGTTCATGCATGTTCTCCCCGTGTCCACGTGGGTTCTCTCCGGATGCTCCGGCTTCCTCCCACCGTCCAAAGACATGCAGGCTAGGTGAATTGGTGTCTCCAAAATTGTCCTTAGGTGTGAATGTTAGTGTGAGTGGTTGTTTGTCTATGTGTGGCCCTGCGATGGACTGGCGACCTGTCCAGGGTATAGCCCGCCTTTCGCCCAATGGGATTGGCTCCAGCCCCCCACGACCCTGTACGCAGGATAAGCAGTTGACGATGGATGGATGTTACTTTTGCAGTGTTACATTTTTGAAGCACTTCATTAACAAGTGAAAAAGGGTTTAATGTAGTCCTGGGTAGTTTAAGAACCGAGGAACGCATTAAAAGGTTAATCCAGACTATTTCTTGGCAGTCCCAGTGCTTTTCCAGAGTGATAGTTTACAGATTGGGCAGGAGTGACGATAAAGAACGGGATCAAATGATGTTTGGATTGCAAACGTAAAGAAACAGGGGGCCAGGTAATTTCAATACGAAACTAATTACCTATTGATTTCATTTCTAACTAGGGGGAAATTTATAGCTCAGGCCTTGGCACAAATCAATAGAAAATTCAATGTCCAGCTATGCCCTTCAGTCTGTTTTTCTGTCTGTACATGAGCAGCACAGCTTCTTTTTAACTACCTTTTTTCACTTGCACAAACATGCCGTCCTTCTTATTTCTATTGTCATTCTTTAATAGTTCTTTCAAGGTTGCAGGTTCACCACGTAGTTTAATTTCTCTTTAATATCTAATCTTATGTTATTTTAATAGTTCATATTCAAGTCTGCTGTTTGAAGTTCCTGCAGGAGTCTGGACTATAAATGTAAAATAAACAGAAGTTGGTAAGAAACAGAAAGATCAGATTAAAGCAATAAAACATTATTTTGCAACTAGCACTGTATCTCCACTTCAGCAGTGACTAAAAACAAGAAAGTGAAGACAGACTCTTAAGCTAAAACATCGTGTGATGGAAATCTGAATATAAACAGATAAAAAAGAGGTAGATCAAGATTATACCGATGACAATTGATGGCATCTTTATTCCTTATTTTATTCTACCTGTGTAAACATAAGGTTCCAGTACCGTTTTGCCTTGGTTAATAACTCATGTTTTCATCTCGTGTGAGTTGGCCAATAGATAACCAACTCTGTCTCTGAGCAGGGTCAAACACCAGAGTGATGATTATATAGTTAGTTATATAGATAGCAATGATTAACTTCCTAACAGCCTGTATGACTCGTCAGACTTCTACTAAGAATCTCTCATGACTGCCCTCTCTTGTGATGAGGACCTTTGATGATTAAACAAAAGCTTTTGTTTCAATCAATAAACAAAACAGTGCAGACAATGATATTTCAAAACTGTGTCAGGTGGCCTTGTCTAAAGTCACTTTTTACTCTTGAAATGAAAGTGTGAAAATAATTAAATTAATTTTAATGAATCCATTCAGTTCTTGATTCACTCGGTTCTTTGGTTCTGATGTGCCAATTACATACGATCCAGCCTTACATCATATTCACTGTATGAATACCTGTTCATTTTGCTTGGTGAAACAGAGTCCCAGTTTATTATCAAAAGTACTTATTTAACCTCTCTCCATGACCACTCCCACCGTCCACACACAGACTTCATCCAAGCATAAATAATTCTATTTTGTACATTTCTTCCTTCTTTGAAGTTCTCCAACACCTCACAGCCATTACCTCGGCCTCCGTTCTTCTTTTACCATCTCCATCTGTACCTAGAGAGAGTAACTGCTCTCATTTTCTAGCCACCGGGGCCTTTTAAGGAATAACCTTTAAAATCTAACAGGAACAATAAATCACTGCCTCCCAGTGAGGAGCTTCTAACAAGCCGGACACATCTCTGAACAGGCTGTGTGTATGGACCAGATTTTGACAAGATGCCAATAGAAAAGCAACATAGAAGATAGGAATCATAATTCATTCTTGAAAACAATACAAAACAATCCCAAGGTGTCAAAATCCATTTAGCCTCATCAACATCACTTTCACATCAAACTGTAATCTGTTTTCTTTTTTACATATTTTATAGTTAAAAAAATACATACTTTACATTTTTATGTTTGAAAAAACATCCAATCCAAATTCAAGGTCCACTTACTAGATATGAATAGATACTAGATACTAGAGTTTGCTCAGTTGTGATGGGACAATAATGGAGGTAGACCATGTTATAGGGTTGACAGTTCTGGCAAAACCTAGCAAGAGGACTTTAAGACTGTACTCTTTCCAAGGTCAAAAACAAACTTTAAAAGGACTAGTTTAATATTTTAGGAAATGTTTATTGACTTTCTAGCTGCGGGTTCAATGAGAAGATCAATACCACTCAAGATTCATTGAAGTATAATCAGATTAATCTATCATACAGTTGATCACTGTAGGTGAAGCCCTACATAGCTTGTAAATCGTGTGATCAGGGTGCTTTCCATTAGTGGTTATATTATTTTTTTGACTTTCCTCCATAGGTTTCATTGTATTTGCAGACAAAGAAGCAATAATGGCATTTTTCACCCATAGCATTTTGCTATAAAACCATTCAAGCCTGGTTTCTCCAAGGACTGGAGCCAGCTTCAGCAGCAGTACCTGTAAAAATGAGCTATGCTGCCTGCAATTCAACAAAGAAAACAAACTATGATATGTTCCAAGAAATTAACAATTATTTTCTTCAAAATAGTGGTGTGCCTCTGTGCCTTTTTTCAACACCAGTGGTCTGCCAATCTGGTCCTGTACAGCTCTGGAGGACAGACTCGGGATGCGCACCACAGCAATGGAGCCCCAAACGCAGCAAAACTGCAGCAACTTGAATTTTAGAGCACCACCAGATGTTTGGCTGAGTATAAAAGGCAGCCCACTGAGCACTGGGTGGCCGCTTTGTGTCTTTATAGAGGACTGTAATAGTTTAATTACCTTCCCAAACAGCGTAGGAGGCATAGCACAGCTCCCTGGCACGGTGCTAGAGAGACAGCTAAGCCTCCTGACCTCGCCGAACGGAAACTCACCTCCTGCCAAATCACTGGGCTATCCTGAGCCCACTAAAGCTTTCAGAGCTGCTTTTATAAATTCTACACTGACCATTTATTTATTATTAAACATTTTAGGATGAACAACAACGTACAAGGTCATTAAACAAAATGGGTATAAGGGATGCAGTTCAACATCACATATACATTGATAATAGGACTGCAAAGCATTAAGAGTTGATCTACTATTTTCGGGGAAAACCAGCACACAGAGCCAGTAAACATCAAATTATATCTTCTCAAGACACATCTTCCTGTTTGAGTACACATCTGTGTGTCAATAGTGATGATCCAAAATATAAAATAAAACATTAAATTAAATAGGTAAAGGAAGTAAGGGTCAGTCCACACAGATGTCCAGGGGAAGCATACAACAGAGAGTAGTGCACAAGAGGTCAAGGTCATGCATGTCCATCCACTTTCACACATTTCACACTGGCCTCAGTTCAAACTCAGAGGGAGGAGTTAATTGTACTGCAAGCAGTAGATCTTTACACATCTATCTTCAACATATATATGTTTATGGTGTTTCACAGATGGAAAAAAGACAGAAACATTGCTGAGCTTCTGCACAAGGAGGAAACTCCATTTTTTCACAACTCTCTAGACAAGTTCTTTCTAAACAGCTCGATAAAAGACACCTTCTGAATGAATGAATACATGAACAAACAAGTCCAGACAACAGATAATGAATTTTGGGCTTTGGATATATGTATATATTTATATCTATATCCTTACCCCCCACCACCATCATCACATTGACAAGCTCACTGATGGAAGCAATATCATCTTTATGAAACAACTCACCCCCCTGGCTAAATGCTGCAGCTTGTTTTCCTAATATTATATAAATCTTTCTCTCCTGGTGTGTGTGTGTGTGTATGTGTGTGTGTGTGTGTGTGTGTGTGTGTGTGTGTGTGTCTCATGACAGGTGTTACAGGGGGTGTCTTACAAGTAACTGGATATCTAGAGAGCAGATTTGTCTGAGTCGTCCGCTAAGAGGAGAAGAAAACACCAACAGTTCAGAGACTGTCAGCATGAAAAAAGCCAGAAGCTAGAAGCTATAAAGTCCCCTGCCTGGTTATCAGTATAAAACTACAGCCAGTGCTTTGACAGAATGAACAAATTCTTTGGTATTTGAGGGTTCACATACGAATTATCCTGACCGTATTGTCATGCCAAGCTGGAGATGTTATAAAATATTCCTCTCAGGCCTATGCTGTGGCTATTTATGCAGAGAGATATCATTTAAGTAGGTCAACAATTGGATACGAGTACATTCATTTTTGATTTGATCTGACACGAGTCGATGTGAATCAGCTTGAATTTGTGCCATGTGAAGCAGCGCAGGGTTTGTTTTGGTGTCCTTATTTTGAGTCTGGCTGGAGCTCATGTGGAAATAAATTAAATAAATCGTGTTATCAGCGAAGCTCTCCCATTAAACTGTCTTCAGCAGCTCATATAGACAAGACACTTGTAAATTAACAGGGGTTCTTACCAGCTGTACATTTTACCTTGATCCATAAAGTGCCTTTATCTTTCATTTTCTGGAGCTATGCGTCATAAATAAACTTGCCCTACATTTTATATTCTTTCAGCAAGAAAGGAACATTTGAGTCACTGCTGGAAATATGAAATCCTCCATCTCATTCTGCCAATACTGCAGAGAGCGGGGAAACTGCATATATGCATGAAATAATCTTGTGTCGTCTCACAGATCATATTCTGATTCAAGTAGCTTCCAGGGAAAGTGGTTTCAGGAAGACTGTGTGTTACCGAAAATATATTACACCTCTATATCAATCTGCTTTTAAATATTGTGATTTTAGTTTAAGTCTTTGACAATATCTGTCAGGAATTTGGAAAGGACTTCTTTCAGGTATTTCCAACTGGTCTAAAAATTCAAACCAGCAACCTTTCCAGTCACAAGTTACTCGCACGGGTGAGACTCCTGGCAGACTTGAGAGCCCAGAGGACATTTAATACAGATTTAAAACCTGCCAGTTCCTTTAGAAAGGAGCAGGGAACACCAGCTGGCAGGCAGACTGCTGATTATTAATTAAAGCTGTAAAACTTAGTTGTTCAAACTTTATATCTATCACTTCATTACACACACATTTATCAGAAGAATGGCGGACTAGGTAGGAAATTCAATGATATTGCACGTTGTTCAGAAACCGCTAAACAAGCCCAGCCCTCCGTTCACAGATGAAATACTTGGCGCTCATTTGGCCATCTTGTGTGTGTTTCACACTTGACTAAATGAATTCATCACCATCACATACTGATACATGATACTATATCATATTCAGCCTTGTTCAAACTAGATAATATTTGGAATTACCGAGATGCCCCATGCTGATCTGTAAAACAAGGAGTGTTTTATTGGTTTCAGCTTTTTTAAGCCTCCTTAAACTATCAACCAAACTATCCTGCCACAGCAGCTCCAGACCGACACTGCTCTCTCCACAGGCTAAACAAAACCCTGTTGGAAACCTTTAAAGGAATAGTTCATTTTGGGAAATTCGCTTATTCGCTATCTTGCTGAGAGTTTGAGGGGAAGTTTGATCCGACTCTCATATCTTTTACAGTTTTTTTACAGGAATGAAACAAACAAGATTCAGTGTGTTAATTTGTGAGCTTCAAATGTGCTGGTAGGTTGTGTTACCTTCAGTCAGAGCAAGGCAAGCTTTCCCCGTTTCCAGCCTTTATGCTAAGCTAAGTTTGCTGGCTGCTGACTGTTGCTTTATCTTTAGCTTACAAACATGATTTGAATCAAAGGTTCATCAAACTCGAGGTATTACTCCTTTAAAGGAAGGAGGGGAATGCTATTTTTGTTCAGGCATTTGTCAAGCATTTCTTACTTATATGAGCCTTAGTTTCATAATTTCAGATATCATTTTTATCAGAGACCAAAGGTGATTACAGACACAAGACAACACATGGTTATCTTACTTTAAAATTATTAACCAAAGTGATCCCTTGTAAACATTTGAAAGTGCACTTCCTGGTTCAACTTTGACAGACTTTCTACTGACTGCAGTTTTGCACGCAACACAATTTTACAATGTAATGAATGACATTTTAGGTTTGTGTACTTTTGGTTTCACTATGAGTGGTGTAGAGAAGTGGGTTAAAGCGGGGATTTGTTTGGTTGGGCCACTCATGCTGCTTGCCTAAATGTACTCTGTTATAAAGCTGTGGTGTTTGGATCTCTCAAATTTAATTGGTGAGCAAAACTGTATCATATCCAAGAATGACAGCTACAAAAACAAGACTCCAGGTGTACAAGAACAGAATTTTCTCTCTGTAGCACAGTGCCACGGTTGATTTTACTTTCACTGTACATCTGTTATCTGCTATCAAACTGATATAGATTTAAGAATATCTTAAATTGTGAATTCAAATCAATACCATAAACAATCAGTGAGTTAAGAGTTTACGTAAAGTGGTCAGTGTTTTTTTTACTGACCCCTGCACTATACACCTCTCTTGTCCCCTCCCCCAGAATCCTTAAGTTAAAAGAGCGAATGGCTCGTGGATCAGCCATTATTGCCAGAGCGGTCCCCTGTTGATGAGGTGACCCTGACATCTATTAGTACAAGTAAAAGGTTTATCCTGTAAGAGGCTCAGGAGAACAAGGATTGAAACCCTTGAGTCAGATTCAATTCAGGCCGTAGCACTGCCCGGGGGAGTGATGGAGAGGACAGGGAGGAAAGACGGGGAAAAAATAGAGAAAGACAAGAGTCACAGAGAGAAGAGGCTTGTCTGACAGACACACTGAGCTGAGGTGTAAAGACAGACACGTCTGCTCTCGGGAGGTTGATTTTGGAGGCAGCTCTGATTGGGACGAAGTGATGCGAGTGGGCTAGGTTATCTATCAGCTGTTCTCACTCCATTGCATGTCTATCTGTCCTGTCAATATCTTTCCTCCACAACTCACCTCACCGCTGCCCTCCTGTCTATACGTTCTTTCCCTTTTCACTCCCTGTGGCAGAGGAAGGCCATACATCATTGATTCAAACTTTTCTATTTGTGTGTGCTTTGCTCACCTTTGATATATTGCTGGACCTGCTTGCAGAATGACCCAGAGGCTTTTCATTCTGTAAAAGAAGAAAAGAAAGACAGCTCCAGTGAGTGAAAAAACACATTCAGAAACCTGTCCAATTTACATATGAATTCTGCAAAGTGAGAATTGGCATATGCCCCATAATTACCATTGGCATCACACTTTATTTGTAATAGATAGTGCTGTGCAATGACAGCTGTTTGACATAAACACATAATTCACATATGACCATTTCAGAACAGACATAAACTGTTACTATGAGACTATGTATGAGTCTGTGGAGAACTTCAAGTAGGTGCAGGGGTGCTGTGAGCTAAATGCTAACATTAGCATGCTAATATGCTCACAATGACAATGCTAACATGCTAATGGTTAGCAGTTACAATGTTTACCATGTTCACAAGCTTAGATCATCGTGTCAGAATGCTAATTAGCAATAAACACAAGCTACAGTTGAGGCTGGAATGTCATTTGTTTTGCAGATATTTGTTCAGAGACAAAAGTACTGGACAAAAGGACATTTTGATCTGATAATGGTGCTATGGTACAAATCATCCTGAGGGGGACATCATGACTATCTATTTAGTAGTTTATTAATTTCACTAAAATCCAAAAAATCTCAACCTCATGGTGGCGCTTGAGGTAAAGTCAGAGGATTGCCAAGTCAGTAGGATTGGATAGGGTAGGATGTCTGGGTACCATGAGTCTCTGTTCCAAATTTAATGGCAATCCAATTAACATTGTTTGTGAGATATTTCAGTCAGGACCAAAGAGGTAGATTGACTAATATAGCCATCCACTGAGCCATGCTGTTAGTGTAGCTAAATGACAATATACGCAGATAAGATAAGCCTAAGTTTTTATAGTGTAGATATGATAATATGAATGTAGAAATACTATAGTCTTTAGCAGGAATAGATTCATAGTCTCCTAAGGAGCACAACAAAATTTAATTCCTCAGCTGCAGTTTGCCATCTTATGTTGGAAATTAAGTTCTTCTGGCACAAGACAAAAAGGAAGACAAGATGTCACATAAGGCAACCATCCAAACTCCAAATCAAATGGTGTCACAATATTTGTAACATTACCCAGGGAGTGACATGGGCCAATACTGTCAGCACAGTCAAGTTTTGTTTTGAGCACAAATGATCGACGATTCCCACTCAGTGCTCTCAGCTTGCATCAGAAACGCAGATAAACAGCCACTAGGGTGTTGTGCTGCATTCAGTGTTGCTATTAAAGCCTTGTGTGGTTCCTTAATGAGTAATCAATCATAGATACAAAATGCCGAGTTCACACCGGGTCTGACACGGCTGTGGTGCTTTGGACACTAACAAATCTTTGTAAATCAGCTATCTGGGGAGAGTTTTTTTTAACTGTCTATATAATGTACACATGGAAGCATAGCCACATTAAAGTGGGTAAAGATTTCCTCCAAGCTCTCATCAAGTACAGTGCACACAGTAGACTACACATGGATGCTTATTATATAACCCTAGAAATCAACCATTATTATATATTATTTCAAGCCATTTAAAAAAAAAAAAAAAAAAAGAGTATATTTTCTAAAATTTGACTTAATGATGGTGCTAGATGACAGGTCAGACCTTCAGAGTGATTACAATTCGTCCCAAGAGAGCATAGACGTCTCGACCAAATTACGTGGCAATCCACTGAATTGTCCTTGAGATATTTCAGACCAACTGACAGACATTGCCATTCCTAGGACACACCACTAGCTGCTTAAAACAAGTCATTTTCTAGATTATTCTACATTTTTTCACTTGTTTTAAGAATATAAAGATTTTGGGACTCATTGGGACACACACTGACAGGCAGCATATGTTTGTGTGGAAATCTCGACCCTGAGAACTTCCCTCATGTTGTTCAGAAGCAGCAGCAGCTTAAGTGTTACCTCTGCCATCCTCCTCCAAACAGGAAGTACATTAACCTTGCACACAGAAACTCATGAACCATGAGTCTACACACACACACACACACACACACACACACACACACCAAGACAACATGATGTGCTTCCAATCCTTAATTACTGTAGCGCCTCTCGTGTCCTCGCCATGACTAGTTGCCATGGTGATAGAGTATACTGTATGCGCCAAGTCTTTCTATCAATCCCTGCTTCATCCTCATCCTTATTTTCATTCTGTCTCACAAAATGCCTCAGGACAAGACACACACACACACACACACACACCCCCCGTGGTCACACAGACCCTCCCAGCCATACTGATGTCAACTTGGATGTTGTTTCTGAGATGTAACAATGATAATTGTTTTCATCAGCTGCGTTTGGATAATACAAACATTCAAATACTTGACCTTTAAACTACCGTCACACCCTCGACCGGTCTTATTGGGAGCAAAGGCCTATGATTTGTGGTCAGTGTAGAGACTGCAATTAAACACACATCAGACATCTCTCCTATGTCTCACCTCTAATTCTCCAACAGTCAACTGTTCACTTAGCAACAGCAAAAGCTTCCATTATCTGCTGAGGCAAAGAGCTGACATTAAGAAGAAAACTAAATTCTGAATAAACATCTATATGCAATTTCCCATCACTTTGACAAACTAAAATGTCAGCTGCGATGCAGTGGCCATTATCTCCGATCTCAGACTGTAGGCATCTTGTGTTTTAATCTGAATGAGGACAGAAAAAGCCTTCAAATCCCCCCACTAAAGTTTGTATGTTTTGCACCAGTGGTTCTGCTGATATAAACTGCATAGAGGGGCATGAGCTCTGTCTTTTACTGTAATAGTGGATTAAAATGAAACAGTTCTCATCCATCTCCATGTCATTACCTCTTTACCTCCTTTCATACAATGCCACAAAATGGTAAATACAGCTCTTAATGGGTGCAATTTCAGCACAAAATCAATTGTCAGATTGTCATGGAGGATAAAAATATATATAAATAAAATATCACTTTTTACAGGACATGACAGTCTGGGATAACAGGCGCAGCAAAAGAATAGAACAAATTGATGATCCTTGCCCTTAATCCTTCCTTCTTGTCCAAAAATGGAGTAACAAGCAGATATGCCCGGCCCAAGGGTTTCTGGAGAGTAACAAGGCCACAAATGGACCAATGACGTTTATAGTCAGCAGTGATTACAGCAGAGAGGCTGCAGACGGATGACAAAAGATGAGGAAGGAAATAAATCAACACCATTTCTGTGCGTCCTCCCTTTCTTTCTAACCCCATTTTTCTAAAAATCCTCTCTCTCAAACTGTGTTACCTCCAGGACAAAGTCTGGGACTCACCTTCACTGCAACCATGACTGTAGACTATAAAGGGCGGTATTCTCTGGGTTCATGCATAATTCTGATATAGAAGGTTTCAGGTTTCACAGTCCGCTGTGTCCGTCTTTCTCCACCTCCTCTGTGGGTCTGTTCGCAGCTCCAGGCTTTGATAACACAACTTTCAGACTGGAGCTTGTAAGAAAACGAAGCTTAGGAGAATACTGCAAAGCGGGAGGAGAGGTTGTGTTCACAGGCATCATGGCGTCTTTCAGGGCTCTGTTCTTGGCCCACAGGGAGGAGAGCTCAGCCTTTATTTTTTATAGCCGCTTTTATGCAAGAATCTCAAAAGATAAAACCTTTGTGGATTTAACCCAGCTTCTTTGATATGCATCTATTCTTCATGAAGTTACGATCCTCAATTGAGCTTTATTAAAAACTAGTTAAATCCACCATCTGTGCTGTCTTTCAAGAACATGTCAGATTGAACTGCAAACTAAACAGGGGCTAGAGGTGAAATAATTCAGTCAATCTGAATCAATCAAGAAATCAACTGGTAACAACTTTTATTAATCATTTCAGTTATTTATAAATCAATAATAAAAACAATCATTAGTTGCACCCCTTAAAACATTTAGATATTTTGTCATTCCATGAACCAACCAGGTAAATATGTTGTTCTATATTAGACAACAGAATTATGCTAATATATAACTTTCATTCTTATTTCTGCACAATTTCACACCACCATCAAGAGGCAGCACATAAAGAGGTTTATGGTTTGAGGTCAGCAGCTTCTCAGAATACAAACATACTCCCAGCATGGGTGCACTCACCTATACTATAGGAGTATCAGTTCTAACACAGACATGAAACGTGATTTCACACGATATTTCAGGGTCACAGATGAGAGCTGCTTGGCAAGCTTGACACCCTTCCTCTTGTCATGTAAGATTGAGAGTTTGTTTTTTTGTTGTTGTTTTTTTTAAAAACCTGTCCTGCCCAGCAGCCTGGTATAGAGTATGAAGGGCTGGATACCATGTTGTGCCAGATAGATTTTACTTTAACAAGAGAGTATTAATATACTCCTTTGTCTGTTTTATTATTTATTTAAATATGTATTGATTTGTCACGGGGCCGGGCAGGGGGGGCAGACATGGGATGGGGGGCACAGACAGATTGAGACAGTTATAAAAGAATAACTATGGTTTGTGAACTGGACAAAAATATGTTTTGTATTACATATATATGTAAATAGAACTACTATCATTCTGTTATGCACTACATATTCTGCATTTACACTTTCAAGGCAATTTTTTTGTTCCATCCATTTCCCCAAACTGATTTAATCTACTCTTGAGTTATCTTTGCTTCCCAGAAGTATCAGAGGACTTGCTGCATCTGAAACACTCAGAAATAGTAACATGACGTCGCAAGAGTTTGTTTTTGTAGTAGTAGAGTGCAACAGTAGTGTTCCTTAGTCACAACAAGCCTTTTAGCTGTAGGACATTGTAGTCAGTTAAGGCTTCTGTCAGTGGAAAAAATAAAAAAATAAAAGTCAACAATCACTTCTCATCATTGCCATTAATATGTAGACGCCAACATTTCTGTTGCCTAGAATGCTCTGATCATTTTGGAAATGCATCACAAATATAAACATAAAAATACTACTTTTTTGGAAAAGAAAGAGCATCAGCCTGCTTCAAGTCACTGCAGAGACACAATTAACCAACATCTTCAGCCTCTTCTGCCTCAGAGCCAAGCATTGACTGCAGCTCCTTGTTAAAACATACTCCCTGTTACCAGCAGTTAATGGAATCACACAGAGTGAAAACAGTGCTTTTGGAATCGGTGTAGTATGTGAAAGCTTTTTGATTCAGGATGTCAGAAGGCAGAAAATAACCAATCCAAGGACAGTATGAAAAGGTAAAACCGATTCTGGACATTTTACCAGACACCTTGGGAAATGGCTTCCATCCAGCGCAAACTATGTTCAACAATGATGTCTTTACTGAGCTCTAAAACATATTTAGAGAGATGGGTTAGACAACACTAAGCACCTCCTTCCTGTGAGTCAGAGTTTTACGTGGCAGTCAGGAGTTGATTTTATCATTTCCTACTACAAATGGCTGACATTGTAGCAAGAATAGGAGGGAGGGGCGAAGAGATTCTAGGTAGAAGTGACAAAGGAAGAGACGTGAAGTAAGAGACATAGAAGCCAAATGAATGATAGCTATCAGACAATGGTAATGAGGGGACTGTCCAAAGAATTAAATCAGTGAAATTAATGGGCAGTGGTTTGTGTGTGCGCAGGGATTTATAGAAATTACTTTCTACATCTCTCTTTTCCAGTCATGTTCTTTTTTATGTAAATTCATTACATGTCTAAGTGACCTCTGCAAGCTGCTGAACTCTTCATTCACCAGAAGTGCTATAATTTCCTAATCATCACAGTTCAGTGTACAGCAGCTTAGCTTAACCTCTGTGTTTGACAGCTTAAACAACCACGAGACTTACTGCATGGAGTCTGGTGATCTCATGTAATGTTGCTGCCCACCTGTGTTAGTTGTATCTCTGCAGTGACTTGAAGTAGGTTGATGCTCTTGCTTTTCCAAGCTTGTGTAGTATTTTATGTGTATTTATACATTATATATTTATATTTGTGGTGCATTTCCAAAATGATAAGAGTATTCCAAAAACCTCTTGAATTCATTTGTTGGAAATCAATAAACCTGACCTGTTTTCTGAACATGTGAAGTAGAGAAAAGCACAGTCAACATGAAACCATTAATCGGCTTTACATTGCACGCCAGATTTCACTTTCAGCATTTTATGTCGTCTGATGCAAGTTAAACACAAACCTGTGCATCTTTAATTATAGATGTCAATGTCACTCTTGAATGAGCACCATAAAAATGGTTATGAAAATGAATTCTACGGAAACAACAGCACACTAAAACAGACAACCATACCTACTACACACACCATAAAGCTAAACAGACTGTAGAGTGACAGATGAAGGAGTAAAGCATGTGGATCTGCAGGTATTACAACAGAAACAGAGGATTTAGCCTGTGGCGGACTGCACAGCGCAGTGTTTACATCTGAATAGTTTTCTCTGAAATAAATGGCATAAGCATACGATGATCTTCTTAGGGCTGATCATTCTGCCAATGGAGATCTAAAAATGAGGCTACCATGTCTGTGTTTTATGCTGCAGACAAGCAAACTCAAATATTTCCTTCCCAGACACAGATAACTCCGCACAGTCTCAGCTCCTCAGAGAAATCTCTCTCAAATCACATAAATCAAAAGACAGCAATGTCAAGCAGGCCATTAAAAACACAATCTTAGGAGAGAAAATACAGCTGGCATGCACAAAATGCACTCAGAAAACAGAGATAATTTGAGTAAACATTGCATTGACTAGTTCCTCCCTCCTCAGGGGTCACAGACACGCATGCTTGCAGCAAAAGCAAATGTCCCCAACAGAGTCTCATCAGGAAAGGAAGTTGGGCTTTATGTGGTTTCCTGTCCACATCAAAGTCTAGGGACTACTTAGGGAGGAAATGCAGACAGGCTCTGAGAGGGCAACTGAGAAGGAGAGCATCACCAGATGAGAAATCTAAACTATGCACAGTAACAACAATCAGTGGAGAGCTTGGCTGACCACAGACGGTAAAAAAAACTAGAACAAATAACCTATTTGAGATTCTAGTTTCCAAAAAGCAATTGAACATTTGTCAAATGTGGCAGTATGTGTACATATTTCAAACTGTTGTAACCTGTAATGTCAGACTGCAGCAGAGGCAGGAAAACCCCTTCAGCCTCTATGTTTGTGGACAAATCTACAGCTTGTGTGTGTGTTAGTGTGTAAATGCACACTGTCTGTACTCTCATAGGCAGCATGTAAACACATGCTTGTGGTTTCCCCTCCTCCTCTTCCTCCTGCTCTATCTGTCCCTCATCTTTCTTCATCTTGGGCATAATTACATCAGGATATCCAAACAGGATATGGTAGAGGAGATAAAGTAACCATCATATTCAGTGCAGTACCATGTGAATGATGACCTGTTCTGGCGGTGCGTCTAATAAAGCTATTTAGCAACATAATAGATGCAATACCAGAGTAAAATACAAAGAAAGTATCAGACGTTGGTCCTGACGATGAAGGATATATGACAGACAGTAACAGCTTTCGAAAGAGAGCAAGAGATCCAAAGATATGTTGAAATATTTTTATGGCAATGCAGTGAAGCCCATTTCCTCATTAGCTGCACTTCGGGTCATACACTTCCTCATGACATAAATCATTATTTATGACTTGTGTGAAAAAGTCAAGCTACACATAATTCAGTGGAGCGCCTCCTAATCAGCTGCGTTATTAGTGTGTGAGTCCCCTTGTGACATACTCCTTCAATAAAAGGCTTGCAGAAACAAAGAAATACATACAGAAAGTAAGAGGTCACCTTAGCAAAGAAAAGAGTGAAATTATTGACCAAGACTCATATTATAGGACTGGTATAAAATACAAATTCAGTGAAACTTCAGTTACGAAGGGACTTTAAGACTATCGCAGACTCTAAAAACAAAAGTCCAACTCGAGGCCTTAGCCCACCAAATGACTTCTTTATAGCTAGCAGCTGCTTAGAGAAGCATGAGCTCTGGCACCCACTGGGAATAGGAACAGCCTATCTGAAGTGTAGGAACCTTTGAAACAAAAAAAAGAACATTCAGCATCCAGCACGCTGAATACTAACTGCATGAGTCCTCAGTTCTTTGCACTGTCAAATATTAAAACCATGCTCTGGGGTTTTAAATGCCTTTCAGAGGAAAACAAGATGAACAGGACGTTGTAAACGGAGGTGCTCTACATGAGTTGTCCATTTTGCAACACACCCACAGCCATCACATATCTGCAGGAAAACCAGCAATGGAGGTGTGCATGATACCCACTGCTTTGCTATCCTCTCCTGTCCGGCCCTCCCTCATTTCTCCCTCTACACTTTCCTCCTCCCCTCTCCAACAGGTTTTAAGCTCTGCCCTGACATGTGACAGCATTAATCCCCACCCCACCCCAGCTGCAGATTTGACACAAAGCTCTGTGATTTGGTGCATCAGTCGATGATGTGATATGCTAAGCTGTAGACAGAGAGGGGAAAACATATTTATATCAGATCACTCTGCCACTGAGGCCTTGTGTGTTTGTCTAGAGTTTCTGTGTGCAGCTATTAGCAAACAATCACACTCCCTAGAGAAGACAGCAGGACATTGCAGGAGCTGCTTCCTCTCTTTGCACTGTCGCACCATAAGCAGAGTTGGGTGCCTGAGAGAAAATAGGAAAAGACTCTAGATGACAGAGAAGAGGGGTTAGTGAGTTCATGTGTGCTGAACCTGACCAGATACAGAAATTTATAACATCCTGTACTTTAGCAAACTATCACCAAACACTCTTGCAGCACGCAAATAGCCTTGCACAAAACAATGATTATTTTCAAAACGGAACCACACAACTATGTAAACAGCAGTAAAGTCAATATGGGATGTTCACAAGTCATATACAGTGCACCCCCACTCATCTTGAACAAAGGGCAGAGGCACAAGAGAAAGTGGGTCAACCTTTCACACTGAAGAGGCGGCAGATGCTCCTCTGAACACATACTGTACTGTCATGCATGCACTGCCAGGCACATGCACTGAATATAAAACTACATAAAAGGTTACAGGTTCAGAGTCCACGAGAGATAGCGCTGAATACACAAAAACACACGCAGATACAACAGACAAGCAAAAAACAAACATACATAAACCTATTCATAGCCTCAGACATGACTGAACATCCAGTCAGGCAGAAACGTTGGTATCAGACAGACCATTTTTGACTGTTAATTTCCATTTGAGACTCACTCTCAGAAACTAACCAGACAAAACCACAAATTCCTGGCAACTCTTTCATCTCTCAGCTACTGCAGCAAAAGGCCTCACCATAACAACCACTGAATGGAAACCAGCAAGGATTATATATGAACAACTGTGCATGTATATAGAATGTAAAGATATGTTTGTTTGTTTTTTAAACAGGACATACAGCATACAACCCTAAAAAATAAATCACAACGGTGACAACATCGACCCCAGCATCATCAACAAAAATAACACAGAGACAAACGTCCACAACAGCAACACCTATCAAGAACAAGAATATGTACCTGAATCTTCATTTTCCAACAGGAATTCATGTCTGGATCCTGAAGACACCTCACCTCTCCGTCACACACACACACACACACACACACACACACCCTTACGCAGATAATGGTTCCTTAGGGAGGTTACATGCTCCCTCTGTAAATCCTTGAGGTAAACCGAGACAGAGAGGGAGAGAAAGACAGGGAGAGAAAGCCTCTGCAAATACGGAAGTGGAGCCGAGGCAACAATGTCAGCCGTCGCCTTGGCGACTGCAGCTACGCCAGCACAACGCGGAAACAAAGACAGACGGAGGAAAAGATAGGGAGAGAGATGGTAGAGGGAGGGAGAACAAGCGGCTGCCCTACATTTTCTTCACACACAGACAAACACAAAGGCAGAGCTGCTACTGCTGCTGTTGCTTCTTGTCAAGGCTTGCTCTCCCACTCAGCTGCGCGCACACACACACACACACACACACACACACACACACACAACTGTAATCCCATTGGCCGAGAAACCACTTCCTCCAGCTGATCTTGATGAGAGGTGGGGGAGGGGCAAACTGTTGTTGAATCATTCATGAGAGGGAGGTCGGTGTCCTTTAAATAGACTCTCTCTGCTCTGCACACTGAGCTTAACCTTAAAGTACCTCCCCCCAACTCTGCTTAAGCCCATCCTGCAACAAATACACACACACACACACACACACACACACACACACACCCTCCCCCTCTGAATCTCTTCACTGTTTAAAGACAAAGACCAAACCACTTATAACCACAATCACTGTGCACCAATCAGAGAGGGGCTTACTGCCGGCTCCGCCAATGCCCAGCAGTCAACAAAAGATGCAAGGTGGAGCAGAGATGACAGTGGGTCATTTATTACACACATCCTCATAGCTGTATTCAAGGACAAGGCTACAGCAGAGCAATCACTCAAGTACTGAGCTATATTTCAGACTACTAAAGGCTGAGGTCCACTAATAAACACACCATGCTTGTATTTTTTTAAAAATAAGCCACCAATTTTGATGGATTGGAATGCTGGCTATGGAGAACAGAGACGAACAAACAACCATGGTGTGTTAATTGCAGCTATCCAAAGAGACTAAATGCACTGAAACATGTAAAACATCCCCTGGTCTGTCACCAGCATGTCACATGCAGCATGCATGGGCATTTGATGAATCAACTCTGGGTTAATAAGGACTTTAATCATACTGTGTATAATTTCTTGTCCAAATGTTACAGTATTGACCTCCCTCAAAGGATTCGTACATTGGATGATTGTAAGCATGTTTTCTTATAATGCTCTCTGTTTTGTAATCTAAAATATTTCCGATTTCCTCTGGTGTGTTGATTTTAATTGATGACCCTTCATCCTTGTTGGACTATATCCTCTGACTTTGACTGACTTTGATCTTTGCCGTTTCCTTGCATCCAGCTCCCTTTTGCATTTATGGTAGTTTTGGGAAAGTGTTACTGAACGTTACAGTGACGGGGAAAGAGTTTGACAGCCAAAGACATAGATGAAGCAGTGAGATATACTGTTTTCTATCTTCACTCTGAGGACAGATGAGGTCCTTTCCATTGGATAATGAGCTGAGCAGCTCTTTATTTTCATTGAGTAACACTGCTTAAACGGCTTTAGCCTCTAAATATGGCATGTTCACTGGCCTGGCTTGTGGACTCTGGCCAGCTGACACAAGAAAGATTTTATATTTTAAACACAACAACAAGAACAACAACAGACATATCACAGGCTTTACATGATAGATGCACTGATAGAACTTCCAGTGGTGGAAAGGAGGTACTTGTACTTACACTATTTTATGCTACTTTACACTTCTACTCCACTATTTATTTATATAACAACTTACCAGCTACTTTTTAGATTAAGCTTTAACATGTTACAATCTCACTGTATGATCAGTATATAAAATACAATGTAGAATATGATTAGAAGATATGATAGATTCTTATATGTCATTCTAAACATCCCAACAGTATATAAAATTGTTCAACGGGACCTTCCCTTAATAAGCTACACTACTGAAATGCTGTTCAGTAATCAGTATTCAATTTTGAATACAGAACTTTTACTTAATGGAATATATTGCAGAATAGCTACTTTTAAAGGATCTGAATATAAGACTTATTCTCTCCCCATATGTTAACTCAAGATATCTGCAGATTCAAATTCCCAATCCGATACCAAAGCTCTCTTTTCGCAAAATCTAAAACACCGTACAATATACCATATTACATAGAACTTATTAGATACATTTGATGTCGAGTAAAATGAGACAACTGAGTTGGTGGCCAGTCGTGACTTAATTAATGTAACTGACGATGAACCTGTATTTAATGTGGATCTGCCTCGTCTGGCCAATACCAGATCTGCTTAACAAAATCAGTACCAGCACCAATCCATCTGTGCATCTAACCTTTACACAAACCTTTTTGCACAAATCAAAATTCCCGCCCCCCACGAACTTCAATACTGAATAAAAAGTCCTTATAAGCAAAACCAGAACAGGTACAAACCCCAGCAGTTTGTCGTTTGTAAATGAACAGTGTGAAATTGGACCCAGGCAGCAGTTAAGTGATGAGGCAACAGCAGGCAACAAGAGAGCGAATGAGCTGCTGATTTCACTGAGAGAGGAGGTTTGTATAACTAGCTCCTGAATCCATTCAGAATGACATGGTTTCTAACGGAGACGATGATGCATCTAATTTACAGCACATCAACACAATGTCTCCAATCCTTCCACCTCAGCAACACTCTCCCTGTTTAAGCCAAACGGATATGATTCAGCCTTCAAGCCTCTTGGGAAGAAAGCCAGACAAGGAAGAAAAGATTGTTAAGTCAAGGTGAGAATAGGCCGTAATTGCAGATAATGAAAGTGTAGCTTTATGGTCACATGAATAAAATATAATAAGCTGGTGATCTTTCAGCACAGTTTGACTGCCCCTTCTGTGCTTCTAATGTGAAGCTAAGGAAAAAGGTGGGTTGTAGAGAACACTGGTTGGACTGATTATAGGCCCTGTCAGAAAATAACAAATCACAGATACTGTAAGATGTAAAACAGCCTGATCAAGTTTAAGGCAGGAAAGTGACAAAGTCAGAGGCCCAAGATGAGAGGAAATATTGGAGGGTTGGTGTAAAGACAGACATTCCTCTCTATCCATTCATAGGCAAAATGTGAAGGGATAGAGAGAGACAGAAAGAGGAAACTCTAATTTCTACTGAGAGAGAAACATGTCAGATATCACACTGGGCGTGAAATTGAGCTGTAATAGCCTTTTCAGTTCATATTCAAATACAGTCTACAGTACTGATAACTACAACACTACAGCTTGTCTGCCTGCTACACGTTTCCATCAAATCTACCTCAAATTAAGAGAAATAAACAAGGGGAGAGAGACGGAAATGAAGACGCGTAGAGATGACGGTCTGTAAGGAAAAAAATAAAATAAAAAAAATCAAACTCTTCAGAAATAATTTCAGTTTTTTTTTCCTTGTTTAATATTCTGTAAAATGTTGAATAACTGCACAGGGATCCTTTGCTACTTGTCCGCTGTACCCATATGCTATGCTTTGATCTGGAGCTTTGCTTTTCATTTACATATCTCGTTTAATGCAGCAGAGGATGATTTCTGAGCCTTGTGTATTCACAGGACATAATCTTCAGACCAAAATACACAAGCGCAAACATTAAGTGGGCTGTCACTGCGGCAGCACGACCTCGACACAATGCCATCAATCCGCTGGCCCAAAATAATAAGGGGGCTGACTTTAGCAACTTTATTGATTTCTAGCTCCCCGCACTTCCAACTGTCCTCTTGCCCCATATCTCCATGTCCCATGATTGTGATATACCCCATATCACAATCTCTGTTTTTTCCATTCTGACACCCAATGGAGCACATCTATCTCGACCTGTGCAAAAACCGATGGAGATTTGCGGAAAGTGGCTCCTGCTGTGAGCACATGTGACCATGATGCACCCGATCGCTACATTTAAAATACAAAATTCTGCATATGACGTTTGCACTGGTGGAGAGAGATGACACACATACAAACAATAACGAGATGTAGGAGGGAATCATCGCAACACTGAGAAGCACCGTTTACAAATCTTACAAAACGGAAAATTACAATACATTATTCATTATACCTGCATTAGATTTTTTTTTACATTCACTCAATATAAATTAGTTCTTGTACTGAATATTCCTGAGGCTTCTTCCTTTTTCCCTGTTAAAGTTTTTTTTCCTTATTTGAATTAAGAGGATAGAGGTTGTCGTAGGCTGTACAGATTGTAAAGCCCTGAAATTGTGATTCTGAGCTAAATAAATTAAACTGACTTGATTTGGAACAACAGGTGGATATAATGGGCTGTCATTCCCATCTTGGATAACAAAGCGGGGTAGTGCGGTTCTCCCGACTTTCCAATGAGTAAAGCAGATTTGCAGAGGGCCCATTTACTGGATCTTTTCAGGGGCCCAGTCAGTGCAAACAGTTATTGAAAGCTGTAGTTTATACCGTTTATCAGCACTTCTGTGTACTTGTGTCTCATACAAATTTTCGTACACAAAGTACGGTTCAACTGCTGTGGACGTGTTGCTACTGTGTTTAGTAAGAGTAAATACCACACAATGCGTTTTTTAATCAACCGGTGTAAAAATGGCTAAACCTGGCTAGCTGTAACAGTTGGCTGAGCGAGGTTTTTCCGACTTGTTAACTGGAACGCTGTCAGCTCAGGGGTGATGTCATTCCCAGCTCCAACCTCCGAGATAAATGGCATTCCCTTTGAAATTTCTGAATTTGAACTCAGAAATTCCGACTTCCCATGTCAAATGGAACAATACAACAACACAAAACAAATACACACACACACACACACACACACACGTCAAGCTGAAGATTTGTGCTACCCAGCAGACACACAGCCCTCTCTGTAATGTCTGCCAGCATCTGGGCTTATCAGTGTTGGGGAAAAAAGCACCAAAAAAAGCACCTGCAGCATCCACTTTGTGGACTTAAGCATTGACTCTAATCAGTATCCATATCAGCACCTGGGGCTGGTGATAACCTTCTAAATTATATAAGTATTTCACCAGTCTTGGGGTGTATATGGAGCTTCGGACAACAGCAGAAGCTGGCTCCTGCCTAAAACTTTCAGCAGGGTGGATCTTTAATGCTACTTAGATTGACTAAATTCTCACTCACTTAATTAAACCGCCACGGTATGCGTGTGTGTGCAAGTTGATACGAGTCTCTCAACAGCTATTGACATGCAGACAGCGACACAGAACCACGATAGCAGAGCTCCCTCATTGTGTGTTTTAACTCTGGACCTGGCTGACCTGATGTCTCCGGCTTCAGACAATTACTCTGACCACGGGTTAGATGAACAAAAATGTAAAAGTGAACAACCACAAAAAA